GGCTCGCGCGATCCTTTGAAGAATTGAAGAATTTGGGATGTCGCCACTACGGCATCCACAATTTCAGGGACGCATCATTTTCTTGTGGCTTGATAATTCTCCTTGGACTGCTCGAGATGTGGCTCCCAACCGGGCGCTCAGTGGGCTGGGCTTTGAGGCTCAATCTATTCCTTGGCATGCATATCCTGGCTTTGGAACCTCGGGCAATTCGTCCCGGCATGGCACACCCCTGAAAGCTTGAAAAGGGCGTCGTATGCGAAATGCAATCACGCCGCTTCCCTCACCAGACTACAGACCGCTTTAACCCCATCCAGCAAGTCAGCCTTTCCGTGCCACTCTGACTCGAAACAGGCCAGGGGAGACTCGCGCGGATAAGCATGAAAAAAAGTCTGCAATCTCTTTTACTTTTCTTTCATCATCCCCTATCCGCAGCCCATGCCCTTGGCAGTCCTTTCGTTCAAACATGGCTCACGCCTGCTGAGCACACGTGCGACGCGTAAAGCAACGCCCAAAGTCAAGGGAGAGCTTGAGCTTGGGCCAGGGGTGATGAACTGGAGCCCTTGACGTGTGTGTGATGCGCCAACCGCGGGTTTATGCTTAACAGATCATATCCATCTTCGAGAAGACATAATGACAACGGAGAGCGACCGAGCCTAGAAGCTTCTTAGCTTATTCCCACATCCCCGTTCGCCTGGGTTTTCCATGCCCACCACTCACAGTTGAAGGCGCCCCCATGCCAGGTGCCGAATTGCGCGGAAGGATGCCAGAAGACACCACCCAACAAATGCGCCGTGGCGGGAAATTCGAACCGTTTCATCGGTACGACTTTTGGGAATGCCAAGAACCAGCTACGATGACCTCGGATGCAGCAGAGGAACATTTCGCCTGCATTACCCCATGTTGAGTGGCGGAAATACCTACGAGGAGAGACATTGCAGACGGGGCAATTGTGTCTCTTCTGCATGCGCTACGTGCGAACTGCCGCTGATGGTACCGCGTGACAACGCACCCAGGCACCTGGGCTCCTCGGCTCCATCGATGGCAGTCTCTAGCCCCGGCTTTGGCCCCTACACGTGCCCTACCGGCGGAGACGTGCAATCCGCTCCTTTTACATCTCATTGATGGAAGTCGCTGGCGGTGCGTTTGCGAGGCTTGTTGTTGATGCTCGATTCGGTTGGTGCCGCCGGTGCTATCACCAAACAACCCCGGCGCCAACGTACGTGGTAGATGAAGGGGTTTCGGAGCGCAGTAAAACCCCACGAATCAGTGGAGAGGCTCCACCACTCTATCCCTCGAACAAGTCGGCTCCGGCACCCACGCCATGGGATTTTCGGAAAGTAGTGTGGGTGGTTTTTGCTTTGCGCCCTCGGCCGATTACAGATTTTGAGGCCTTGGAGGGCTAGAGCCTAGACAGCTTGTCAGTAAGATGAGGTTGTCTGTCGTCTTCGTCCCTGTTGGTGGGGGTTGTGCAGGGCAGCTCAGGGGGCGGAGAGGAACGGCGGAAGGAAAGACGAGACGAGACTAAGATGGAGCTGAGAAACAGAGGGAGGCACAATGAACCAACAGAATGTATATATCGTCGACATCAGCCGGCTGTTCTTGACTTGGGAAGATCCTTTCTTCAGCAGCTTTCGCTCTTCAACATTCTCTCTTTATTCGACTACCGACTCCACATTCATTCTTTTGTACCTACTACTTCTGTTCGTTCCGAAAGCTTAGCACCATGAGATCTGCATCTATCCTCTCCGCGGCACTGGCTGCCTTTGCTCCCCTGGCTTCAGCCGCGGACGCCGTTTCTGGCGCCGCTGAAGGCTTTGCCAAGGGCGTCACTGGCGGTGGCAGCGCCACTCCCGTCTACCCTTCCACCACTGCCGAGCTTGCCTCCTACCTCAAGGACTCTTCCGCTCGCGTCATTGTCCTGACCAAGACCTTCGACTTCACCGGTACCGAGGGAACTACCACCGAGACCGGCTGCGCACCTTACGGCACTGCTTCTGCCTGCCAGGTCGCTATCAACAAGGACAACTGGTTCGTAAACAGTCTGAAACATTGTTTCTTGCATTTTCACTGATATCGAGGCTGTCAGGTGCACCAACTACCAGCCCAACGCCCCCAAGGTCTCTGTCAGCTACGACAAGGTAGGAAATCGAACAGGAATTGTTTCTAAGCTTCTCTAACACAGCCAGGCCCCGTTCAACCCCCTCATTGTCGGCAGCAACAAGTCTCTGATCGGCCAAGGATCTAAGGGTGTCATCAAGGGCAAGGGTCTTCGCATCACCAACTCGGCGAAGAACGTCATTATCCAGAACGTATGTTGAGTCTGTACCTAGGACTGAGTTCTCGGAACTCTCAGCTAATGAAACTAGATTCACATCACGAACCTGAACCCCAAGTACGTCTGGGGAGGTGATGCTATCTCTCTGGACGGCACCGACCTTGTCTGGATCGACCACGTCAAGACCTCCCTGATCGGTCGTCAGCACATCGTTCTCGGCAACGGTGCTTCTAACCGTGTCACCATCTCCAACAACGAGATTGACGGCTCCACCTCCTGGTCTGCCACCTGCGACAACCACCACTACTGGGGTGTCTACCTGACCGGCAGCAATGACATGGTCACCTTCAGCAGTAAGACACGCCTCACCACAATACACTCCAGTCTCAGTTGTACATGTGCTAACGCCATTTCTCCCAGAGAACTACATCCACCACACCTCCGGCCGTTCCCCCAAGATCGCTGGCAACTCGTACGTCCAACTTTGATATCCCGATTTGACCCAGCGTCATCATCGTGCCCTAAGATGTCTAAACTAACCTTTTTTGCCCCGAACAGCCTCGTCCACATCTCTGGCAATTATTTCTACGCCAACTCCGGTATGTATTAGTCTATATCTCAAGCTTTTGAAGCATTTCATGATGTTGTGGTCGTTCTACAACCTCTGCGCTTGATTTCTGTACCTCCGGGCCCCGGGCCGGACCCGTCTCGGCGAAGTGGGTCAGTGGGTGCACGGACCACCTGGTCCAGCCATGTGTTACCGGACGGGCAGCGACAGTGCCCCTTCCCATGTTGATTCATTCAGGAGACAGACTACAGATGGCTAATATTCTTTTACAGGTCACGCCATGGAGGCCGATGCTGGTGCCAAGGTTGTCCTCGAGGGCAACGTCTTCCAGAACGTCGTTGCTGCCATGCAGTCTGGTCTGGCCGGCAAGGTCTTCTCCAGCCCCGATGCCAACACCAACGCTCAGTGCTCCAGCTACCTCGGCCACACCTGCCAGCTCAACGCTTACGGCACCTCTGGCTCTCTCTCCGGCTCCGACACCAGCATTCTCTCCAGCTTCTCTGGCAAGAACGTTGCTGCCACTGTCACCGCCAACGACGCCAAGAACGTCCCCAACACCGCTGGCTTTGGAAAGATCTAAGCTTTGGCTGATGGGATTGTCTCTGGCCGGGATGAGGCTCTGGAGGAGTCGCCTGGTTTCAGTTGAAGTAGTTGAGAGGAAGCAAGGGGGTTGAGTCAAGGCACACGAGTGACCAACGACAGATTCATGTACATATCTTACTTTTTACCGTCGAGGACGTAAATACTATGCTTGATGCATCAATTCTTCTATACATACTGTCCCCTATTGCGGACTTGACGAGTTGCTCTTGAAACAGCATCAGTAGGAATCAAGCCGAGACCTTGCCGTTTTGATGTGTCTGCACAGCCTCATTGTCTGTGTTGCCAACGACTTCGATCAGGGACGACAAGACCAGAGATTACAACAGTAGAGACAATACTGCGTAAATGACGGAAGCGATAATTGCGACTCAATAATCCGCCTGAACAGCATAACTCTGTGTGAAGAGCACCTCAATTCACACAAAGTTACCAACGGTTCAACACGGAATGAGCTTCAAACACACAGGATCAAGCTTGAACCGGTGAAATTTCATAGCCCGTGCTTCAGAGAAACTGCAACTTCCGCAACCGACACAACGCAACCAGACGTTTAGCACCACGAACCTTCTTCAGAGGAGAGGTAAATGGAAAATCGTTTTTGGATACTTTCATACAATGGAGCACACCCTAGATTCTCTTATACCAATTGTACTGTATGTGATAAAGATACAAACGGGCTTGCCTTTTCAAAAGTACGTAGGTAGGTAGAACAATCAAACGTAGCTGCTAAAACTGTGTATTTACTGGCGTATTTAAGGAAAGCGACTCCTCAGTGAACTCCTTCCGCATTTAAAACATCATAATAGACCGATCAAGCTATAAGTAATAGAAGTTACCTAAACTCAATCAGGAAAGCATTCCTTTGCTGAAAACTGCTTGCCGCACTTTCCTAAATAACCTCCACTCCGCATTTTCAGACTTTTCAATTGCGACCCTCCAACCTTCCCAGACCTGCGAGAAAATAAAAGCCACATACGTTCCTAGCTTTCCATTCAACCGCAACGCACTCCAGAAGTAAGATCTCACCAGCATGTTTAACCGCGCCGATCGTCGCTGACCGTAATATATACAGTAACCACAATGGACTCCAAGCCTTGCTCGTCTGCGGCTCCCGAGAGGAAGGAAGGTCAGAGAATCATGAACGGCCAAGAGAGTGCCTCGGACACGATCTCCAAGATCCGACGTGGCATTCACACGGTCTGGGGAGGTATTGGCGCAAACGAGGAGCGACAGCTCAGAGATGTCCTTCAGCGGTTGGTTGATGATCTCGACGGGCTGGAGAAGAACTTGTCAGGCACTGCGAAGCGACTGAGAGAAGACGATAAGTCCGCCATCGACACTAAGCGCTACAAGACGGACCCCTCTTCAGAGGAACCTACTCTTCGCAGCATGAACCTCGTTTCCCCACCTCACATCCCAGCAAGTGATCATTGCAAAATTGAGAAGATTGAGGATGACGACCAGCTGCACAGAACCACGTCTTTCAACCCCGTCATTGATCTCACCTCGGACACAACATCAGACGAAGAGAGTCGTCAGGATTCCAAGACACACATGCTTAATGCTTCTTTGGCTCCCGAAGCGACGGCGAATGAGCAAGATGGCCACGAAAACGACAAACATGCCGTCTTGAGGCTACTTTCCCAGGAGGAATATGGTGATACCAGCGATGAGGAGACCCAAGACAATACAGTCAAGCCGCATGGGGCCCACCAAGATAAAAGCCTCAACGCCATCGAAGCGTGGTTTCGATACAAGGTCCACAACGGGCACGAACTATTGGGACTACTAGAACTGGTTGACTTTCATGAGCCCAATCCCGACAACTGCAAGGCTGGGAGTGAAAGTTGCCGGAATCTTCGACAAAAAGTCGAAGAGGCTGAAAAGTCAATGGGATGCGACTGGGAGACAAGTATCGGCCCACTCGCTCGCGACGTCTCTATACATCTCAAAGATGCAGGCAAGAACTTGGAACGTATCCTGAAAAGGTTCCAGGGTCATGCGAAGAAGATCGAGCCTAAGCCCGACTACGACGACCTGTTGCTCGACAACGCGGAGTACATCGACCGATTCAGGCCCTCGCAGAAACACCACGTCTACGACACGGGCGTTGAACGCCTGCCTACCTCCACGTCAGAGCTCTTTCTTCCAGACCGCCAAACGGCACTCCGCAGCTCTAGCGGCCGTTCTCGTCTCTCCCCTCGGATCGTGGCAGGAACACCCATCAAAACCGAGCAAAGCACATGCATATCCCACCTCAATAACGCATCGACCGTGTCCCAGGGCCACCAAGCCATCTACACGCCAGGCAGTAGCTGTCAGAAAGAGACGATGGGTACTTCACGCATTTCCTCCAAAAAGGTGCATTGGCCTACTGGCAAGGAGACTGTTGCCGACACTGGAAAGGACTTGTCCAGGGAAAGACGCGAAGCGAGACGACAGCGACGAGGAGCCTGATCAGAAGTCTAGGAGCGATGGCGACGGGTACAGCGACGAAGACGATAGCGGAGAGAACGGGCCTCTTCCACTTGGGCCGGAGAGGACAGGACAAGGATGGGTTGACAAAGCTCAACACAGTCATAGGTCACTGGAAGCGAGGCAAGCGACAGAAAACCAGAGTATTGACCTCTAATGCATTTACGAATTCATAGCTTGCTTGAGGAATCGACCCGAGCTTCAAACCTTTTGTAGCTTGAATCCACCACTCTGAAAATACCGCGCCGATGCAAAAACACCTGCTGATGCAAATATGGCCAACCCGCAAAACAGTTGCAAGCCGAGATAGTCACCTCCGCGTGCATCAACAATTGCGCTCGCTATAGGACTGCCCGTGAGAGCACCAAAAGACTGGAATGCGAACGCCGTACCGGTTCGAGCACCAATTTCTCTGATGTCAGAGATCTGAGCTATGAGGGTGGGCCCGATAGATGTCAGACCAGATGAGCAGAAGCCGAATGCTGCTGTAAAGATGAGAATTCCGGCGTCATTCTTGATCGGGATCCAGAGCGCTAAACAAGCAATCCCCGTAAGGGTGGCGATGGTAATCATGATGTTGTATCGGCCGACTCTGTCAGCCAACAAGCCTGGGACGATACGCCCGACGATTCTATTTCCACTCAGTTAGTAATTAGGAGTTATCCAGTGACCGAGGTTGGCGACGTACCCAACGGCGTGCATGATTGGCAGCAGGTAAATGACCAATTCCTCGTCCATGCCTTGAGCTCTAGCTTGTAGAATCACAAAGTTGTACGGAACAAATAGACCGAGGAAGACCAAGAAGAGCCCGAAGACTGTCGACATCATGGTTGGTTCTCGAATACCCCGGAAGTACTCCTTCATGTCTACTGGCTTTTGTTCTGGCTTGAGCCGAGATCTGACTGTGCAGTTGGCGATGATGAGGAGGAACAGAAACATGAAGCCAACGCAGCGTATCGCCCAACCGAAACCGACCCTGTCAATCAACTTGGGAATCATGATGGGCAAGATGATGCCACCGCAAGAGGATCCAGACATCATAATGCCAAAGGCCATCCCGCGTCGGCGATGGAACCAGGTGACGAGGCAAGACATGGCGGCGCTGGTCACTGCGCTCGCGCCGATGGGACAGACGATGCCCTGAGCGAGGAAGAAATGATAGTATTTGGTGCCCAAAGACTCCATCATCATGCCAAACACATACGTGATGGTACCGCCGAAGAGGATCCATCGTGGCCCGTACTTGTCAAAGACAAATCCCCACTAGTCTTCACGTCAGCTGAAAGTTCAATTGGTATTGTGAATCAAAGTAGCGACGTACAATGATGGGCAAGAAGTTCATGGTCCATTGCATGAAACTGGTGATCCATGATACAGTGGATGAAGAATACTCTCGAAGCGCATCATTGACGTAGTATGTCTGGAAAACGCCGATGCTGTTGCCCAGACCGTAGGTACATAAGAGAACGCACCAGCTGCCAAACAGCACCGTGAGAGCTTCTCGTCCACCTTCAGGGAACCCGTCGGCAGCCGCATCGGTCTCAGGAATCGTGGTCACGCCTTGTTCCATGGTTCTCGGGTCAAGATGGCGCTCATGTTCCCCACCGGTATTCGGACCCGATGCGGGCGGCATTCGGGGCTCATCAACTGGCTCACCGGCCCCATTTCCCGGACCTGGAATCGTCGCTTTCTCCATCATACACAACACGGATATCCGGAAAAATCACCGGACAATTCAGAAACCGGCCGGGAGATGTTACCTCTAAGATTGAATTTGGCAAAAGAGCCTTAAATACCCCAGGTTAGTCTCGAGCAGACGGCGCTTGGAGTGGAGCCCCACGGGGAAGCTCCTCCAACGTTATTTCCATTACCTAAATGTGGACTGCAGGGTGAACGAATTTCCACCATACATACGGGTACTTTCGCTTCGCTCACCATGCCAACCCCGAATGACGCGAGCTTAAGCCCAGAAAAGTTCGGGCCGAGCCTATGGACGCGTCCGGAGGTCTTGTCCGAGGCGGCGACTCGCGCATCGGGCGAAGTAACGGGCCGGAGCCCCGAACCGAAACATTTGGTCTTTGTCAGAATGGTTATTCTGATTCTTGATTCTTGGGGGGACGATTGAAACCTCAATTTTGTCCAACTCGCCTTTGACAACGATCTATCTCAGCGCCTTTTGAACGCCCTTGATCACAACCGCCAATCGCTCGATGCCTTCAACAATTTCCTCCTCCTCATGCCACGCCCAGCAAAGTCTTGCGCCGCTGTAGTATGATTCCCTGCCCCTTTGCTCACTGTAAGGGTCATCAGGCACGCCGAATATCTGGCCTGGCCCAACCTTCAAGTTGAAGTCTTCAAAAGAAACCCGCGAAATTTCCGACGCAAAGTCGGCGCCGCCATCGCCAAAGGTTATGTAGAGGAAGAAGCCACCAGCGACACCGCTCTCTTGTGCGGCCTCCTCCGCAGCAATTCTCACGCCCAGCGGATAGAGAACACGTTTGATTGTGTTGACCATGGCATAGTAGCGTTGCTGGTAGGTAGGAATCAGAACTTCGTTGATGTGCCGAGTCAGAGCCCCCTCTGTGAGCACGTTTTCCACGAAGAGAGAGGAGAAGTGAGCTTGCCCACCACCTGAAGCCGTAGCGCCACTGCAAACAAAGTCAGTCCTTTTGCCAAGATCGAGGGCATGGGCGAAGCACTTACACAGTACGAATGGTGGTGCAGAAAACAGGAGTTGCTTCAATCCAACCAAGCCTCATGCCAGGAGCAACAATTTTGGAGAAGGAGCCATTGCTGACCGCGTTTCCAAACGTTGATGTGCCCTCTAGCTCCCTGTCCACATCTACCAAGCGTGGGCTAGGCTTTGGAAGAGCTTCAGCCGAGACACCCTCCTTCGCCGGCCACCGGAGCACATCGTAGACATCGTCAGATATCAGCAGAGCATCATGCTTTCTCGCCAACTGCACAAGTCTCTTCCTGTTTTCTAAAGTCATGGTTTTGCCACTAGGGTTTGAGAAAGTTGGGATAAGATAGACCACATGGCGATAGACCTTGGGATATCCCAATGTTGCCGATTTGCTAGGTCCTGAAGTCTTGTCCGGCCAGGTCTCATCGACGTGCTGTAGCTCGCTTGCGAGAAAGTCAAGATCCACGCCGTCCGGTCCTTCTGGTGCGCCTCGGATGCGACCCGCGAGACCTGCATCTCTGAAGATGGGGCATGCGAGGAAGTATGTAGGTTCGACCATCCAGACCGCGCGGGTGTAGACTGGGTCTGTGAACTTTTGAAGAATTGTCGCTAAGCCATTTGATGCACCATTTGTCTCGCCAATTCGAACGCCTGGAATCGAGCCGGCAGTCGGCTGGTAAAAGTCATTCAGCCATTTTCCGATCAGATCTCGCAAAGACGGCCTCCCAAGTCCAGCTCCATATCTAAGAAGGTCTTTCGCAACATCTTCTTGACGGAACAAGGAGGAAGAAGCAGCCTCAAGGTCTTTCACTGGGTGCAAGCGGGGAGTCGGCCATCCTCCTTGGAGATTAATGAACGAGTGCGGCTCAGAGTTGGTGATTCTCATGTTAGGCAGGTGGAGAGGTGTTGATTCTAAGTTGATGGTGCTCCTCCCAGGCTCAATCCATATTCATAAAGGGGAGCTGGCGTTTTATCGCGGGGCTGGGATTCGTCGGTGAGAATGACGAACAGCGGGTCCTGATATGCGAAATACCGACTTTAAAAGACGATAGCGCATCCCAAGATTGGCAGGTCGCATGAAGCCGACATAGGTCGGGGGCTCCCCGACGCTGCATTCTTTCGAGCCCGCGGTCACGGGGATATCTGACAGCGTGTTGAATTGAGAGATACTAAACTTACGGAGTTGATTCTTCCGACATATGATGGAATTGTCACAACGGACCCGATGCTTTCATCCGCGGAAATGTGGACCTATGAAGGCCGGTGACGCCCGCAACCGGAGTCAACTCCTGGTCGATAAACGCCGATCTCGGACTTATCCTCGACGCGACCCCACAGCTATGACCGGACCATATCGCGGTCTCTCCGGAACGGCAGTAGTATCTCAACTTTCCTGCCTCGTCGCATGTTTGGTCCAGCTATTGCGACACCGAGAAACTACACCATGGCTACAACGTCTTCGGACAATGGGCACTTCGTGGTGCTTGGGGCCGGCGTAATCGGCCTCTCAACAGCGATAACCCTCCGAAGTAAATATCCTTCAGCGCGCATCACCATTCTAGCAGAGTACTTCCCTGGCGACTACCATATCGACTACTGCTCCCCATGGGCCGGCGCAAATTGGTGTTCCTCAGCAAGCGACAATGGGCTCCTCGAGTCATTCGACCGCGTTACCTTTGAGAGGTTCAGGGAAATTGCCAAGCACACTCCCGAAGCAGGAATCAAGAGTTCACCTCTTAGAATGATTTTTGACCAGAAGATTGAGGATGCCGAGATACTCAGCGAAGGAACTGGCAAATTGTGGTATGATGGTTTGGTCGGTGGCGCAGTCTCGCTGAACGAGAATGAGCTGCCTGAGGGGGCTGTTTTTGGACTAGACTTGCCCTGCACCTTTGTGATCAATTCCCAGATTTACCTTCAATGGTTGGTGTTACCCATCTAGAACTCAGATTGACTGCTGTGATTAACTCGGCCCAGGCTTTTGGAACAATGTAGGCAAGGGGGCGTGTCTCTGCTCCGGCGTCAGATTACCCACATCAAAGAGGCTCATATTTCTGCCGACGTCGTAGCTGTCTTCAACTGCACTGGCTTAGGATCATATCATCTCGGCGGAGTTGAAGACAAAGCCATGTACCCAACGCGAGGGCAAACGGTCCTGGTGGAACAGCCCATTCAGCCACTGGAGCGAATGTACTTTCGATCCCCTCGTCGGGTAGACAACGACACTACATATGTCTTCCAGCGTCCTCTCGCCGGAGGCATCGTCCTTGGTGGCTGCCGCGAGGACGGCAATTGGGACAAGGACGTGGACCCCGAATTGGCGAAGAAGATTATGGACAGATGCTGTGCTTTGGCACCCGAGCTCGGCAGGCCTGAGGATCTAAAGGTAATCAAGCATGGTGTGGGCTTAAGACCAAACCGCAAGGGCGGCCCTAGAATTGAGGCCAAGAAGGGCGGGGATGGGTTGATAATACATAATTACGGTGCCTCTGGTGCAGGATATCAAGCATCATGGTGAGTTGATACGCAACGGCAGGAAAATGAGAACATGACTAATATCAAAATAGGGGCATGGCAGCACATGCAGTGAAGTTAGCACAGGAGCAGCTGGAAGTCGCGCCGCAAGTAGTATCGAAGTTGTGAAGTATTATCAATTTGCAGTATGCCTCCGTAAGCATCCCTAGCGGAGGGAAGGAAGTGCGGGGTACACTGCGAGGGGAGCTAGCTATTGAGCATCGTTGTTCTTCTCATCCATTGCGACGAGCTTTCATTTCTCTGATTGTCAAGGACGAATTAGACCTATACAAATAGTATATTCTCCCAGTAGATGATACATACCAAACCACACAAAACTGGCTTTGGGATCTCCGTTTGAGACTAGATCCTTATGCAGATGGCGACACTGTGTGGGTGAGATGAAAAGCGCCACGACAGCGAGCACTGCAGCTCCAGCCGAATGTGCGCCTAGCACAGCCTCAGTGAGACTAACTATTTCCCCCAAATGCCATGACGAATATACCTGAGTCATCCAGATCATTGCCAAGTCAGCCTTCTTCGCTGCTCATCTTCCGTACAACTTGTCATCTGTCTCAGCATCCGCCCTTCAAATTACACACTTCCACGCGCCGTCTTCCCCGCACTCCTTGCAGCGACAAAAATGACCGCACCCGCTAACCCTATCTCTAGATACAAATTCACCATTCTTCCGGAATATTTTATAGACTACTGCAAAACAGCCGATGACAGTCCTGGAGGCAAAGCGACGACGCAAGCCGGCCTAGGTCTCCTTGACAAAGCTTTTGGAGACTCGCCACAACGTCAAGAAAGCGGGGATACTAAGCCGTGGAACCGTTTTGCGGCACATGTCAACCGACTCAACGATGAAAGCCCCGCTGGGGTGGATTACAAAGTACTCTACCTAACCAGACACGGCCTCGGGTACCACAATGTCCAGGCGGCCAAGGTTGGGACGGCAGAGTGGGATGTGAGCAACGCCTTCTGGTGACGGCGGCCGGACCTTTTCTAACGTACAATAGAGATATTGGTCACGACTTGACGGCGATGGGGTCGTCACATGGCTCGATGCAGAGCTTGTCGATACCGGCATCAATCAGGCCAGAGATCTGGGTGCTTTCTGGAAGGCTGCTACGGCTGCTGAAGGAGTTCCCTTCCCAGAATCATTCTACACGAGTCCTCTTCGGCGTTGCCTCGAGACCAGCAAGCTTGTCTTTGGCGATCTAGTCGAGGGTAGAGGCCAGGAGTTCAGACCTGTTATCAAAGAAGGGCTGAGAGAGCGCATGACCGACCATACTTGTGACAAGAGGAGTTCGAGGACGTGGATCGAAGGAGCTTATCCCAAGTACATTATCGAATCTGGCTTCACCGAGGAAGACCAGCTCTGGAAGGCGGACCAGTTTGAGACCACGGAAAGTCATGTCGCAAGGAAGCAGCAGGTTCTGGATGAGCTCTTCTCGACCGACTCCAGCCAATTCGTGTCATTAACCGTCCACTCTTACGCCATAGCTGCCATCTTGCGGGTTGGGGGCCAGGAAGAGTTCCGGGTTCGAGAGGGCTCCAGCATCGCAGTGCTGGTCCGGGGAGAAAGAGTTGCGACTTCAGCATAGATTATCTCATTTAGTTCGAAGATTGATAACTAATCAGGTAAACTTCGAACTTGGTCTTGATTCTTCCGCCGCATAAAATGTACCCAGTGGGTACACTATGTGGTAGGTCTGCGCATCATTTCAGATTCTCAATTACTTTCTCGATCATGCATTATTCGTGGATGGCCCCTTATAACTTTGGTGAAGATGGAATCCGAAAACTAACAAGGACTGCTTTTACAAAAGTACCTCCAGATTTGGGGTGGATCAGGCCATGGCTGTGAGTTGCGGGAGGCCGCCTAAGCTGTTGCCTAAACCCCACAACAAGGTTTCTTTCCCGCGAATACCGATAATCCGTTCACTTCCAGTATCATCTACTTCAAATTCACGAAGTCTTACGGTCTGTTTGAATTTCAATTATATGAAATTGACAGAATGGAAAACCAAGCTCATGCCACTACCACCAGGCCGTACCAGTACGAACCTCTGAACCACGATCAGTTGGAGTTTCGACTACTTCACCTCTTACCCGCGAACGATTCAACCGAGCCGCTTGCATGCCGACTAGAGATTGTAAGTGGTCGCACTCGTCCACATTTTGAGACGCTGTCGTACACTTGGGGAGGAGAAGCACCATGCGAACCTGTGCTAGTCAACGAGGCATACCTTCTGAATATCACGCCAAACCTAGCAAGCTTTCTACGACAGCGCCGAGACCCAATTGCAGAGGTTACAATCTGGGTTGATGCAGTGTGCATCAACCAGAATGACGTCTCCGAAAAGAACCAACAGGTGTCTGTCATGAGTGTCCTCTACATCGCTTCTCGCGCTGTCACCATCTGGCTTGGACCAGCAGCCGACGATAGTGACGTCGCGATGGAGAAGCTAGCGGTACTCTCAAGGTCAACTGTATACAGCAGAATGCCTTCTGTTCCGCCGGAGACGGCGGCTGCGATAGGAAAGCTTCTCAATAGGCCTTGGTGGACCAGGGTCTGGATCGTTCAAGAAGTCTGCTGGGGCGCTCTCGGGGGCGGGCTGATGACAGCTACAGTTTGTTGCGGTAGCAAATCTATCAGCTGGCATGACCTTGTCCTCGCATGCGGGCGGATCAAAGTTCATGAAACCAGCCTTCACCAGTCGATTCCCCATGTTGAAAGCGTTCTGCATCTCGAGTCGATCCGCTGGGGTGGCGAGAATATCTATACGAAAGGTAACACCACGGGATTTGACCAGAACGACTTCTTGCAACTAGTTTCCAAGTATCGGCATTTTGACGCAACTGATCCGAGGGACAAGATCTACGCTCTGCAGGGAATGTTGAGGAACAGACCCGGGCTGGACACGACGCAGCTGCGTGTGGATTATGGCATCGATGCGAAGGAATTGTACCACAGATTTGCAATCATCACAGCAGTCAGAGCCCCTGGGCTAGGAATACTGCAACACTGTTCCGGGTCACTGGATGATAACTTGAGTGGCAGACCATCTTGGGTTCCTGACTGGTCTCTCAAGCGTCGAGAAACACCTCTGCCTAACCGGGCATCCGAGGTCAAGGAAGCAATCCCTTGGTGGGCTGTGCCGCAGCAGAACGGCGACACCATTGGCTACCCCACCACGCACAGCAAAGCGAGAGACATGGCACAAGAGGCTCTGGAAGACATAAGAGGTGTAGCGGTCGCCCTATCTCAAGCAGAGATATTGAGCGAACTGCCACCAGATCCACCAGATGCCAAAAATACCATACAAGACCTCATTCGGCGAGGGGAACTTGTGCTGACGTGCTTGCCAAGTGAGCCTCGCATCGATGCCGAAACTGAAACAAGCATGTCTGAGATCTTCGATCGAATCATGACATCCAACGAGAGAATAACCCAGCGAGCATTCCTCCGGGATTGGCTTGATGAGACAGAAGAGAAACGACCGCCATACTCTGCAGGAATAGGCCAAGCCACCAGCAGTACGCCAACATTCTCGCATGATCTCAGAAGCATGATTGTGGATGGAATGCTTTGGGACACCATCGAGTCAACACACGAACCATTTCCTGAGGATTTAGACTCAAACTGGGAGGCTTCCACTCACTTCATGATCGCTGTCGCTCAGTGCAAGAGTATGGCAATGATTCAAAACCATGACTTGAATCCATACGAAAGTGAGGATGCTAGAGAGAGCGCATTCTGGGATGCTTTATTCGCTGGACAGGTCGTTGATCTATCAACAAGCCCTGACGATTGGCTTCCTCGGCTGCCGCCAGCATGGAGCAGGACGGAACCGCCGCTGACATCAACCAAGCCAGGTCAAGTGGAATTGTCTGAGATATCTGAAATCTTCAACAAAAATTCTCGGCGCATGAGAGGTGCTGGCGAGGATAGAGGCTGGCTGGCTGTAGGATTTGAAAAGTCTTTTGACCCACAGAATTGGACAGAAGCAGAACGACTTCAAAAGATGGAGCGATTTCGAGAGCTGGGGAACTTGTGGCATTCGCAGCCATACGATCTCTATCACCGCCCCTTCAAGCTTCCAGCAGTCGTGCCGGATGCTTACTGGACTTGTCGCATCCAAGACGATAAAAGAGCGCGAGCGCTGAGCGCCACATCGCGCTGCAAAAAATGGATCAACGGCATCATTAGTCCCGATGAACATAGCACCGAACGCAGAAGGAAACGAGCTCTTAAAACCTTTGCCAAGATACCATCAATCATTCCTCAGGAAACAGTCGACTTTCCTGTGGAGAAGTATGCTCTAGGACGTCGATTCTTTGTCACGACGCGCGGATATCTGGGCATTGGTCCTGCAAACGCTCATCCGGGTGATCATGTTGCTATTTTGATCAGTTCACAAGTGCCGTTTATCCTCCGTGGATGCAAGGACAATGGCTACAGAATTGTGGGTGAGACCTATGTGTCTGGTATCATGAACGGAGAGGCTGTAGATTTGCTTGTCAAAGAAGAGCAGGCGCTGGATCGCATCAAGTTAGTCTAATAATCACATTTCCTAGTCAAATTTCTTGGTAACTCAAGTTTTGCTTCCAAAAGATCAGTCATACCGTCGGTTTGGTTGAGACAGCAGCCGTATTTATCACCGTCATGCGTGAGGCGCAATCCCCCCAGGCGCGAGGGACGGTCTGAAGGTCCGAATATATATAAGGGACGGATCGAGGACCCAAGACTTGAACTCAATCACCTAGGTAGGTAGACTTCGGGGCATGTCGTGGCAAAAGTTCATATAGGTGAAATATCTTATGTCAGTCTTCTAGAAGATGGTCTTTGTAATACGCTTCTACGCTGGCTTTGGAAAGTTCGAAAACATCTGGCGGGGCCTCTTTCAGAATGAGGAGGGGGACAAAGATCAAACCAAGGGGAAAAAAGAAAGAAACCGCAACATTGCATCTGTTGTGAATGGGGGGTGGGGGGTTTTAAGCAGGCAGCAGTGGCGTTGTGCCCAAAGACAAATTGGTGCGATCGACTGCACTGATCCGGCTTCATGATGCATCAGCCCGGTTCTGAACTTGGGCCCGGAGAAGAGATTAGCGAATATCCCACCTGATTTTGACCCTGGCGACCTCTAGGTGAACCTCAACATAGACTTCTTGTCGGTGTGAAACTCCAACAAGAATGAGGACATATAGTAAACGCCACCATGCCGACCCATGCTGCTCCCCTTTATTCGTATGACGTTAACAGTGCCTATAAGGTTTGCCTTCGGCTGGTAGGTACCTACCTACCTAGTGTTACTTCCATATTGATAGTACATATGCGGGCCTGGACAACCTGAGTACGATCAACAAATTTCCGGTTGCCCCACCACAAGCACTGACCAATGCACCTCCTTTTAATAGTAAACACACCACGCTGAATCGCACGACGCGTCGTCTTCAAGGACGTGCAGACTAGTTGTCCCACTGTGTTCTGTGACTCTGACCGTGCCTCATCAATATCATATATGGCTTCCATCAGTCTGGCAGGGACCTTTTTCGCTAGCCATGGCTATGACTCATGGTTGCTTCTTATCTTGGCCGCCATTCTCCTCGTCGGCGGGTCCCAGCTTCGAGGTAATTCTCAAGATCCGAGGGAGCCGCCGGCGTTGAAGCCGAAGATACCAGTTGTCGGCCACATTATTGGTCTACTAGGACTTAGACAATATTACTATCGCCAACTCGGGTACGTTGGAAGTCATATCCTGGAGTTTAAATTCCGGCCATCAGAAACACAACAGCTGACGCGGAGAGTGTGGGATCGCTGCAGTCATGAAAATCCCAACCTGCCAGTCTTTTCAATCTCAATGGGTGGTTCTCAGAAGATGTACATCATCAAAGATCCCCAACTGAGCCAAGTCGCTATGAGAAACAAGGCTCTAAGTCTGATTCCTTTTATGGCAGAGTTCGCAGAAAAGATGGTCGGCTTCGGGCCCAATATCATGAACTTGTTCCATCACCCCCCTACAGACGGTTCACTTCCGTGGACTGACGATCAGCATCGTTCTTATGCACCGCTATCTCCTGGGCCTGATCTGCTGGAGATGAATACTTACGTCTTGAAAAGAATCTCACAAACCATCAACTCCGTTGGCCCGGAACTTGAAAACAAAACTCTGTATTTGTGGTTACGAGATGCTTTCACCAAGGCTACCTTGGGCTCTCTCTTCGGCGACAAAAGCTCCCTGACAGCCAGCCCGACATTAATACAAGATCTCTGGTCAGTATTACATCCACCTTCTGTTAAGGACAAGCCCTAACATATCTATACGACAGGGACTACGATGCAGGCCAGTCTCAGCTTCTAATGCAGCCGTTCCCTTCCATCACAGCACGCCAAGCCTATGGTGGCCGTTCTAGGGTTCAGCAAGCCCTCAGAAAGTACTTTCTCGAGGAATTCGATCAAATTTCCAATGTCAGCGCAGTTGTCAAGCGGCGCGTGGCGGTCAATCGCAAGTGGGGATTACCCAGCGATGACGTTGCCGATCACGAATTCGGAATGCTCTTTGCTAGTGTCACAAACGCAATCCCAACGCTTTTCTGGATGACATGCTACGTCTTTCGCGACCCAAAGCTCGTTGAAGAACTACGAAAGGAGCTGTTGGATATCGCGGTCATTCAGGACCAAAACGAAACGGCCGCGGATGGACAGAATGTCTTGCAGTTCCACTGGCCTCGCAAGTGTACATTCCCCTTAGCAAAGCTCAGCTCGGCCTGTCCCCTTCTACTGTCAACATACAAAGAGGTCATGCGTTTGACGAACCGCAATGCCGGCACGCGCAGGGTTGTTGAGGACACTGTAATCAGTTACACACCGACTACGGCAGTTGGAGAGACGGCGGCTACACAGTCATATCTGTTGAAGAAGGGCGCCAACGTCCAGGTTCCCTCCATCATCACCAACTTTGATCCGGCTACATGGGGTCCAAATGCACACGAGTTTGACGCAAGACGGTTCTTGGCTGTAGACAAAGAACGAGAGCGCACGCAGAGTCGTGCCTTCAACCCCTTTGGCAGTGGCAAGCACCTCTGCCCCGGTCGCTTCTTCGCCGACGCGGAGATTCTAGGAGCACTGGCTGCTTTGATTCTGGGTTTTGAGATAGAGACGCCCGAAGGTGGCCGAGTGCAAGTGCCGCCTATCAAAAATAACCTAGCCGAAGCGGTGCCCAAACCATTGCAGACTGTTCAGGACAACATGATGGTGAGAATTAGGCGAAGACCTGGTTGGGAAGATGTTGAATGGGCCTTTGTTGCGAGCAACGGGAAAAGCTGAGGGATTCTCAAACTAAGTGTTCAGACTCGAAACATGCTTGCTGACATCGTCCCCCTCCTTGTCATTCTCGAGTGCCCAGATGCTTTTGCATGGACCAAGCTTGATGGATTGGGTACAAGAAATATGGTCTTACCTGGCCGATGTTCTTAGTTGGCGAATTATATGCATCGGCGTTGTTCTGTCTAATGCCTCAGCTTTGTAGACGTGCCAGAAATACTAATGCAATCGTTGAAACATAACTGATGGGAAGCTCCTCGGACTCGCCGCATTGTTGTCGTGTGCTTTGCTCCAGGGTACAAAGAACTGTTTCAATCATAGTTCAAGAACAACAAAACAAATGTATTCTTCGGTGAGTGCTTTGTTGCTAACCCAAGGGCATAATCGGTCAAAAGGCGGCTTGTCGCCGGCCTGCTGGACCTTTCTATTCACAACCATTTTTATCATTAAGCAACATTCCATCTAAGCATCAGTTCACATCCGAGTAGGTCTATCGGAAACAGAAGCCTAAGGACCCGTCATACAGAAGCCATGTGTCAGCTTGCCAAAGCCACTTGCGAGATCTGCCAGGAACCTCAGACAGTCCTGGTGGAGCGAAAGCCTTCAAAATCCCACCCCAACGCAGTCAACTACATAACTGATGAGTTCCACTTTCCCTGTGAGAATGCAAAACTGACCGGCAACAACTGCGGCTGGGTCCGTACGAAGCACTTCCAAGCAACCGTGCCTGATTCGCTCTGCAAGAAATGCCAGGCATATCCCGGCGGATCTAATTACCGCGACTGGCTCGAGACCGATATTAAGCGACGAGAGAACTTGGCGCAGTTCATTTTGACAACCAAGCAGCGAAAGACTTGGTGGAAGGTTTATCTATGTTGAGTGACCTTCTTTAGGTGACACTACGTTGGCGACAAGGGACTGAGCAAAGCCAAACCAACAGGGAACATCTTCGGACTTCTTCATGAGCAATTGAGCATGGTTCTCTTCATTGCAAGTGCGAGGCGTTAGGGTAAACATCGAATTATCATTATCTAAACTCAAAAACAAAGCACTCTAATCTCTATGCAAAATCATTCTACTACTCATCTAGAAAGAATGTGATCAAGTGGTCCGCTCGGCACGATCTTGATTTGAATAGGTGGCTCGGAAAACAGAGCACCGCCAAGCCCATATTCAAGCTCAGCTATTGCTTCAAAGCTTGCCACTATCCTGGATGGTGAGGCTGTAGCCGTAGCTCTGCGAGACAGTGTAGCGGTCGCTGCCGCGGTACTGGCCGTAGTTGGTGCTGTACTTCTTGTCCCAAACCACAGTGTACATGGAGCAGTAGGTTCCCTGGGGTTTGCCGTTCTTGCTAAGGACGTAGGCGTTGAAGAAGTTGCAGGCATCGTAAGTGCCATCAGACCTGGGGTGTTTCTTGTCATAGGCGGTAGTTGCCAGACAAGCAGAGGCGCACTGGCTGGGGTCGAAGGGACCAGCGTACCATTTGGCTCCCATGTAATTGCTGGGGGCGTTGATGGCGCCACCAAGCTCGGTAGGTCCTGAGAAGCCTGATTGTTGTGGAGGCGCCGCGTCCTTGATGTAGCCTATAACCATGTTAGCTCTGTTCTAATGACAAGAGAAGAAAAGAGACATACCGTTGGAACCCTTGATGCCGACATGGAAATCGGCTCTCCACTGTCCAACGTTCGTAGCAGAGTTGGAGTCGAGTTGAGCACCAAAAAGACTGCACTTGATGTTGATGGTGCTCTTGGGGTCCTGGCAGATGTCATAGTCCGGTGAGTAGAAGGGATCTCTCTCAAAGTAGAGGTTAAAGGCGTAGCAGAAAGGAGCAGCATCGCATTGCTTGGTATCGTCAGTCTCAATTAGTAACAACATTCAAGATGGAAACTGACCTGCTGGCACAGGTAGGGGTCGTAGGTCTTCAATGTGGTAAAACTGATGTAAGTTGTGCTTTCAAGAGCCCCTGTCAAAGCCTGGAAGGACCGACTGTATCCATCAATAGTAGGGGCGGCGCTGGCAACGGAGTCGTAGGCGGTGTTCGCCATGAATGCGTCGTAAGTGTCAGAAGTTGGCGTAGGCCCATAACCAGTGGGCTCCTTGGTCTTGCATCCTGAGTTATTGGGTGAAGCGTTGTCGCGAGCTGCGAGAGTCGAGTCCGGCGAGACGGGGTTCTGGGTGGCGTCTGCGGCAGCGGCCGCCGACGCGGAAGCAACATTGTAGGTCGCCTTCTCGCTGGCGACACCAACGGCCGGACCGACCTTGGTGGGTTCGGGGGCGGCCTATACAACAGGTTAGCTTGGATGTCGAGATTTAAATGCTTAGATGGCCTTCTCACATCAAAGATATCGAAGTCGATACCGTCCTGTGCGGTTGTGTCGCGGGCGACAATGGGATTGGCAGCGGCCATGCCAGCCACAGCAGCGATGATGACAGCGGAACGCATTGCGAAGTTGGCGAGTTGGGAAGCCGGAATTGAAATGTCAGAAGCGAAGGCGGACGAGATGATGAAGCTGGTGATGCTGGAGGAGTGGAGTGTGAGGGTGATGAGTGGGATAATCGAGAAAGAGGCCGGGATCTCAAAGGGTTTATATCTAAGTTCAAACGCACCAGCATGAATGCATCCAGGACCTATGTTGCCGCTGGTGTCTGTCAGTATTCTCTGCGACTAGAGTCTCCATGTCAACAGAGTCCTGGTGGTGCAAGTTCGGGAAAGGGCCTAAATGGTGAGTAGCTCAGCTCAATAAGCCACCGGACGCGCCGCGCGAACGTTGGCGCCCTTTCGACTAACCGTCCTTGTCTGTGCATCCGGCAAGGCACTCTCAGCTCACAGTCTACCGGGCATCATGCCCTTTTGGACAGAAATTCCAGCCTCTCCCGTACACTCGTCGTAATTTAAGGAGCCTCGTCATCAAGTGTCGATGCATCGCGGGAGCCTCAAAATAGCATGTCGACTTTCTGCTTGGAGATGCGATGTGGTTGTGTGGACTTGGTGACGAGACATCCTGGCTCACTCCGAACAGAAACAGAGATCGACGAGACATAACCGTAAAACAAGCGTAAATCAACGGGGTTCTGAGTCCACATCTTTCCCGATGTTCTTTGTTTGCCGCCTGCCAAATCTCATCAAGCATCGGCTAGTCTGGAAGGTTCCTGGCTCTCGGGATCGTTCCACATTGCTGGGACGGGCAGCCTGCCGTTCTTCCGCGACCAGCTTCTATGTGGCGACCAGCTAGCGATCCTTACGGTTAATGATACCTAAATCTGTTGTCCTCACGTGGTTGGTAGACCCTGCGCTCAGGCGAGGGTGAATGGAGTTTCCAATATCAACAAAGGCCCAGCCATGCGTTATGCTAGGAGAAAAAGAATGGGGGCCGACTCCTGGTCCGCAGGCTACCTTCAATAGTTTCGCGGTTTTGGCGACTAGATGTCAGGTCAAGCCGGCGACTCGTGTACGTCTTAACCATCTTCAGAGCTAGTGTGGCACGGGGAACAGACTTCACGCCCAATTCGTCTCCTCTTGCCCCGACCCTTGCCTGTGCGGCTGGACTGCAGCACCAATGTAGCCATATCAGATTGTTGTTTTTGGGGAGAAAAATACCGAAATCTTCCCCCATTGGCTAAAATCCGATATCGCATTGACCGCAGTCCCGTCGCATCTTTTTAACGCCCGAGACGTGCACTCTTTAGCTCCCGTCAGGGGGTAGCCCTGCCGAAATTCAACAGCTTCATGCACGAATACACCGCCGAAGAGACAATATTTTGAATGCAGGGAACAATATTCCTGCAGCATCGGCCGCGATGAGGATCTGGCCCTCTTCGGCCGCTCGACAGCGCCCATTCTTGGCATCGAGTTATTTCTTTTTTGCAGCTGGCCGCTAGTTAGGCAAGCTGATCGTTGGTGGCTTAACGACGTCCGTTGGACAACAACAAACAAAGAAAATAGCATGGGAATCAACCGTTCGAGGCTACATCTTTGACGTGATCTAGTGACAAAGAGAACACGCGAGAAACGGGCGTCAAAGGAGGAAAGCCTCCAGCCTCCCTCGTATGTCAACGAACTTGAAACGTCGAGAGCAGAGAGAAAATGCGCTAGCTAGATTGGCTGGGATGTCTACTTCAGCTCAAGCGAGAGGCCTCGATGTCGAAGCTTCAACCATTCTGCTGACCACACAGAAATCAAGCTCATCGCGATCCCCATGCTCCTCCTGCCACGCGGTTCCAATTACACTTGTCCATGTCTTTGTCTCCACCAGTGGTCAAGACCCCGCAAACTATGAAGAACGGTCTCGACTCTTCACCCTGACTTTCATGCAATCCACTGGCCGAGCTGTGACCTGTCGCGTCTGCCCCAATTCGTTAGCATTGTTTACTAGTGAAAACCTGCATGTCAGGCAAAGACTCACATTGTAGAGCTGGGTGTTGGACCGGTGCTGGCCCTTCTCATTGATGATTGGCTTCCCGTCGACACCAAGCGTCGCCTCACCCAAGCCGACCTTCTCAAAATCATATCCGCCAATAACGCATGCTAGAATTACTCTAGCCTCAATATTCGCCAACTCCTGCCCAATACAGTTCCTTGGACCCCTCTCGAAGGGTCGCCAGGCTGCAGCCGGAATCTCACTCTCGCCGGCTTTTCCGATGCCAGCCTTCTCATCGTCATTCGTTGCCATGGACGTGTCGGTGTTCCCGAGCCACCTCTCCGGTACGAAGTCGTCCTTGGTGCTCCCATAGACTTCAATATCACGCTGGATCAGGGTTGCGCAGTTGTACAGTACCATTCCATCCGCACAGAGGCTGCTGCCATCTCGAAGCTGGATGTGGAAATTTGACCCTGGAGGGCATAAGCGTGCTGACCCAGCTGGAGGGTAGAGACGCAGAGTCTCCTTGATGACCGCAGATGTGTACGTCATCTTCTGCGTAATCTCATCTCCCTTCAGTAACAAGGCCTTGCGGATAGCTTCGGGGCTGAGATCTGGACCGAAGAGACTCTGCAGCTCCGCACGAAGCGTCTTCATGGCGCGCGGGGTCCGGGACAGCTCGTATATCGCCCATTGCAGAAGGATACTGGTGGTGTCATGTCCTGCAAACATGAAGGTCTTGAGCTGGTCTTTCGTGCCGTCAATAATCTCCTGGGTCAGAACATCGGTGTCGCTGAGGCTCAATGCCAAGATGCTCCGACTGGATATTGCCTTGGTTTTCTTCATGTCATCGAACTTGCTTCGAATGACATTTGTGAGGAAGCCATCCACCTTCTCGGCGAGAACCTTGCGCCTTCTGTCTGAGAACAGGTTCTCGCACCACTTGAGCATGCCGCCCTTCTCTCTGTAAGAGAGAAGGAACTCTTTGTAGCTCTTGATGAAGTCCCCTTGCTGCTCTTCTGGGCGCTGGGCGCCCAGTTCAACGTCCATGGTCACGGCACCTGCGGGGACATCATAAGTCATCATATTGAGAATACTATGGTCGACAACCAAACTTGCCTATGATATCAAATGTGAGATTGGTACAAAGCGGCTCCAGTTCAAATATTTCGCCTGTCATTGCAAGCCTGTCAAGCTTAGCAACAAACGTCTGGGTATTTTCCAGAATCACCGGCATCAGGCTCATTAAGTGCTGTGGAGCAAATCCGGGGTTGAAGTGTTTTCTCATGTCTTTCCAGCCTGGTCCCTGAATCATCATTAGTAAATTGCATCGCAGTAGTTGGCCGATCAGATCCGAACTCACATTTGTCAACACAATCGACTTCTTCCCCACTAGGGGCCAAAGGTATGCCATAGTGTCCGACTTTGGCGTACTATACGGCCACATTTTGGACTGTTTTGAGACTTGCTCAGCCACATAGTGACTACGGATGAGAAGCATTGGTCGGCTGATAGGGCGGAGGTCAAAGAACATGACTGGGGGATTTGCCATTGTCTCACACATATCCCCAAGAGCGTGGTCTAGCGGTTAAACTGCATTAGATGAAATGTTTTACGACTTCAGAATACTTCAATAAAATCGCAACGGGGGGCTGGTACCGATTTGGCATTCTTTCTCGTCGCGTCGCTGATGGAACTCATTGATAATCTTCATATGGCCCCATATTAACGATGGTTTCACCTGCGGGTAGTTCGCAAACTGCTTGAAGCGGCGGTAGTAAACAACCGAGTAGAGGTAAAGTAGAAGAACCGGAAGCGCTAGAAGCGCAATGGAAGGGAGATTGTTGAACATGATAGAAGGTTAAACCCACACACAATGTAGAGAAGCACAAACACAACTGCTCGCACGCGAAGTCTGTGGCGGGTAGCCGCGTACTTAAAAACCAATCCACCTGATTTGCATCGGGTTTAAAGTCTTCCGTTTCAGCTGGCGCATGGACGAGCCGCCCACCATCTCCAAACACGACCCCATCAAACATGACGATGCAAGACACTCCAGCCGGGCAACGTAACTCAAGGATCGTGGTTGGCTAGAAGCGACTCTCGTTCGCGCACTAGAGTGTGACATGCAGATAGACGATATACGCTAACACAAAAAGCTCGTCATGGAATTTGGACACCGGCTTGACTGAGGGGTTGTTATTCGCATAGCTAGGACGTTCTGAGAAAACATCCGCTGGGATTGGTCGGTCTTTTTGAGCCGGGTCGAACACACCATCTTTCACTGGCAGGTCGCATGATGGACCGAGCCAAGGATTTCTGTCAGAACCTTGAGCGCGGGAAGGATGGCAGCCACACCCTTGGTTCCCGCCAAGCATTCCGTTGGCACTCGCACGATGCTGAGGGGCTCCTCTAAAAAGCAAACAATCTAGTGAGGTGACACCATGCACTTCAGCTTTCGTCAAGTACAGGATGATCTGGGGTAGCCCTTCAGACCGGTGTGAGCTGCTCCAACCAACTCCAAACCTCGGCTTGAGCCGACTAACCGACTAACACGAATACGACGGATTTCATTCAATCAACATGGCTAGTTTGCGACATTCACAATTGTTCCGTAGATCGTGTGTTGAAATCCTTCTTATCGGTTTCGGTCCTTGCAAGGATGTATGTGTGCCTATCTATTAAGAGAGACAACAGAAACTCTCGTACTCGGACGGTAACGCTAATTTCTCAGTGAAGACGCGTACGAATGTCAACAATTGGCTTCGAACTTGCAGTAATGTACTAAAAGGTCGCACTCGTCACCTGCGGGACTTTGTCTAGTCCATGAATGCGGGTCTAGTAATGAACCTACAGATTTCTCGCACTTTGAAACCCGAGACCCGAGTACGGTCAATATCCCTCCATCACTTCCAAGTCTCAGCTTTGGATTTGGGCTGTATTAAGAGCCTTAATTGGTGGGCAAAACAGAGAAGTCGATGCTTCTTCGACGAAAGTACTACGAGCTAATCTCAGTAACTGATTTCCAGGTTTCAATGCTCAATGTGAGTATCTCATCACCATATCACTAATCCACTCTGGGACACGAGCAGTTATCATCTTTGTATCGGGCCTGCCCCATTTGGGTCTCTAAGCGCCAACAACATGACACATGGAATTCAGAACGGACACCGTCGCATCGCACTCGCTTTCGGAATTCTCGTGAATGTCTAATGTCTATTTCCACTTCATCGGAGTACGGAGAAATGTCCTAAAAGGCAACTTCATCTTCTCCGAAACACTGGGCTGGCACTCATGGGAAAATTGAAGCTGACATCAAAGGTCGTTTAGCATTTTCATCCGTTTTCGACAGGAGCTGGCTAACTCTTTTCGCACATGAAAACATGCTTATATGTACGTCCATCTCAGTATGACGATGGCACGACGGCGAGTCTGCCACCATCTGTAATGAGCACGTTGCCGTTGGTGTAAGCGCCGGCCCTGCTGACCAAGTACAGCACCGCACCGACCATGTCTTCCGCATCACCAGCTCTCTCCTCAGGGATCGTTGCCTTTGGCCATCCGTCCTTGTGCTGCTCGACCGTTGCTGTCGTCATCTCACTCGGATAGAAGCCGGGTGCGATGACGTTAGACCTGATGTTATACGGGACCAGGACCGTGGAGAGCTGCTTCATCATGTGAACCACCGCCGACTTGGACGCCCCATACGCGAAACCCATGGGCTGCCGGTTAAACGCTCCGATGCTGCTGGTTGCAATAACCTGGCTTCGCTGCTTGAAGTTGCTGCGTTTGTTTCCCTCGTCCAAAAGTTCGAGGAACGCCGCCACAGTGAAGAAAACCCCGGTAGCGTTGACGGCGAAAGTCTTGGTGAACTCTTCGGGGTCCCAGTTCCAGACGAAGTCGCGCCACTGAGAGATGGAGGGGTTTGCCGGCATGCCCTTCAGCGCTGGGCCACCAATTCCTGAGTTTGCGATGACGACATTAACGTAGCCGTGTGCCGACTTGATCTGCGAAACAGCCTTCTCAAGATCTGATTTGGAGGTAACATCCCCCTGGATAGTGCGGATGTTTCCATGTTTCTGTGTCATGATGAGCACGTCAGATGCGGTCACATGCAGTAGTTGAGAGGGGAGTGAGGACATACAGCGGTGCTGGCGGCTTTGTCCAGGGCCTCCTGTCTTCTTCCGATGATATAAACAATGGCCCCATTGGCTTCAAGACCCTGTGCAATCATAAGTCCGATGCCTGTATTGATGGTTCAGAGGTGAGCTTCAGGGTCCCTTGATGACGTAAATATGAACGACGATGGCATACCTGTCCCACCGCCTGTAACCACGACAATGAGGTCCTTGACGCTGAACAAGTCAGCAGCTTGCAGAGATGCTGAGGCCATTTTTCGATGTTCTTTAAGCGACTTTTCTCTAGAAACTAAGTGGTGAATGACATATGGTGTTGTAGTTACTGAATAAAGGTCGCCTCGTAGTTCGATGACCTCAGCTTTTAATGATGATCCTTAGGTGGGGTAAAAGACGGCCCGCACGAACGATGGCGACATCCGGCTTCTATCTCGCCCGACCGTCGAAAAGTGTGCTTACGAATTGCTGCAATATTCGGGGCTCATGCACCTATCTGCAGGCTACCTCCGAAGTTGGGATGTTCCCCATCTCACTGGACGGTTTACCACTGAGGCGTTTTTGGGGCGCTTGGACATCGGTAAATCAACCAGCGGAACAATATGCGACATCTCAGGAACTTGATACGGGGACAACGAGTTATACCCTCTTCTGCCACTGAATTGTGCTTGAAATGATGCCCAAAACCGCGAGCTGAGCCATTGGTCATTAACCTGTGCCATCTTCGCAGTTGTCGAGCAGACTTTCCAACTCTATGTCCCTTCTTGGCACGAACCGGGCCCGAGAACCCTTAGGCGTCGCCACAAACGCCAATCCCTTCAAGCCCTTGATTGGATCTATCTCATCGGAGGATTTCCCATCGGCGGGGAAGATCTCAAAGTGTGCAATCAGATGAAGAAACGCTGTGTACAGGGCGTTGTGCGCTAGATGAGATGCAACGCACATGCGCCCGCCGATGCCGAAAGCAAATTGATGAGCGTACTGGTCAGGTGCGTCGGGGAGCCAGCGCTCAGGGGCGAAGACATCGGGCTCGGCAAACAAATCCGAATCTAAGACCGCATTAGGTGAACGCCACCACATCTGCATCGTAATGAAGCTCACCTCTATTGCAAGCCCAGCTATTTAGAAACACGAGAGTGTTAGCAGGAATTGTTGCGGAGCCCCAAGTGACGTCGATGTATGTTGCCTTCGGCAAGGCGAGCTTCAGGACAACGAAATAGCGACCGATCTCTTTCGTCAGAGCATCTATGTAATCAACTTTGGTAGACGCATAAGAATTGGACGGCTTCTGCAAGACTCCCGAATCTTTAATGGCTTCGTATGCCTTGCTCTGGATGTCGGGACGATGAGCCAGGAGGAGAATGGCCCAAGCCAGGGTCGGTTGATTGGAATCGGCACCCTAAGAGACCTTAGTTTTCGAACATCAAGAGCACCAGGTAGAAACCAAGCCTAGCATGACTCATTGCTCCAAGAGTACTTACTGCCATCATACTCAAACTAACGCTGATCAACTCCTGCCGAGTAAGTGTTGCAGACTCCGGGTCTCTCAGCACAGCCCCTTGGATGCAAGGCTTGTCCTCTCCTCGCTCAACCTCTCCTCTCAGCTTGTCCAGTAGAACATCATTGTACTCTAGCCTTCGACGTCCAATATCAGTAGCATGGTCCCTAGGGCTGGAATTGAGACCAAAAGCGTTGGCGACTGGTTCCCAATACCGAAGAAGAGGGATGTAGTTGGCATAGTTCTTCCCGGTGTCTCGGAATTTAGATATCTCTGACTCTACGTAAATGATTTCGGCCAGCAAGGGATCATCTTTGAGAGATGTCACGTTGGACACGCGGGTGCCGTAGTTGAGGGTCAAACTAAGGTTGAGCGCGAATCTGCGGACAGCTGGGCGAAAATCGATCGCTATTGAGCCATCACTAACTTCCGAGTAAATATCTCTGAGGAACTCTCTTGCCTCTAGGTTAAGAATCGGCGCATAGCTCTCTACACGCGGACGATTCAGTGCACCAGCAGCAGCCTTCCGACGACGCTTGCAAGATTCGTCCCAAGGGCTTGTACCGATACTTGTCACAGCTTTGCTGACTTTCTTGTGGAAGATGTAAAATGTTGGTCTAGAGTTCATCGCATGGCGCTGGCCTAGAAAGAGTTGCTTTGCAGACTCGGCCGTGTTAACGACCACGCCGGTGGTGTTGCCAAGTTGGATTTGGAAGACGGGTCCGTATATCCCTGCCCACTTCCGATATGTCTCAGCAGGAGCCTCTTTGGAGTTCTGGTATGTAGTTAGAACCCAATTTAGGACTGTTTTCGGGAGGAGCTTGGCAGATACTTGAAATAGATTCCCGACCACAGGCCAGCCCGGAGGTCCCGGGAGACCTTTGATTCGGCTTCGGAAGCGTGCAAACTCATTTTGGATCAGATATGTAATCAGAAGTGACAGAAGTGCGACGATAGAAATCTTCAGCGTTGAAATCGCCCAGCTGAACATCCTTGAGGTGACATCTGCAGTACTCATTTTATGACAGCAGCGCGGCCAGACTCCTGGTGTTGATCATGGGAAAGGCAATCTCACGTTCATCAGACCACGGAGAATTTTCGAGAACATAGCTTGGAGCTGCCTGTGCTGTCATCATTAACCCCGCCATGTCGCAATCGCTCGTCCTTGTCCGAGTGATGTCAAGCCATCCTCCCCAAAGCAATCGCGAGCTTGAAAGCTACGCGTATACGAATGGCGAATTTGCCGTCTGCATTATCCCATGCATATGCATTCATGCATCCATGGTAAGCCTACCACAAGAAGCAGTATTCGGGATGCGAGGTGATATATGCACTTTCTCGGACACATTCTGTAAGCAAATCCAATCACGCCATCCCTTAATACGATGACGAAGCTATTGCATTAGACATGGTCCTCAGGGCATCACGGAGGACCCGGGGTGTTGCCGAAGGCCAAGGCAGCCGGTCGGAGATGGAGATAGAGGAGACATAAGGAGTTTTGCTATCCAGGCGTATACTTCTGGCTAACTGGGCGGGTAGTAGATGTATACGATATCATCGACGATAACGACGACGACGACGACGACGACGACGACAATAACGATAGTAGCGACGATAACGACAAGGACAGAGAGAGGGATAGGAATAGCGACAATCGTAGTAAAAGTAGAGTAAGATAAAATCAACTATTAGACCTAATATAGGTAGTGATCCGTCCGATTAGCTAGAAGTCTCCGCACGAATGGCAAGACTCATTATAAGTATCGAACGCATTATCGAAGTGGATGGAAATGGCACTCGAAATCGTCTTATGTCTTCGGCCATGCTCTAGCATCGAGTGCCCTCCCAGTTGGAATGGGTTGCAGTATGGGACAGATAGGGCCCTCGCCTCCCGCACCATAGGTGTATTTGCGCTATGGTTCATACATCTGGGATACTAGCTTTTGAGAAATACGTTCGGGATTTCCGTGTCCTTGGAGTTAATTTGCCGCATGAAAGACTTCATGTTCCATTGTGCCAGGGCCGTCGGCGAGCCTCGGTCAAGAATGTCGGGTTCAAGCAGTCGACCTGATGAAAAGCGGAACACCAATCCGAGCAAATGCAACTTAGGCTGGAGGAAACACAATAGTGAATGAACGGTCTCAGAGAAGAGAGTAAGCTTCATCATTTATACTTAGCATAGCCTTCTTCGGAGTGTTTGTCACTTCGTTGACGCTATCTTATCTCATCAGACATGCATTTCAAAACCTGAGAACTCAGTTTCATGAAAGCCATTGACATCGTCGCACGGCGTATCTGGCGTAATTGGCGTATTGCACTGGCTCATTATGTGGGCAGACAGACGTGATCACCTTGTCTCTGAAGAACGGATTAGGAGACAGCACAGTTTGAAGAGGAATGTATCCGCGACGGGGTGGAGATTCTGTGAGTTAGTGTCTGGGGACACGCCAGGGCCAATCGGAAAACCTGATGAACCGGGTGCAGCGAGGTGGAGCGTGACATTTTCTGGGGTTGGTATGGGGAAGACAGGCATCGGCATAATCTATCGTATCGGGCGTGTTATGTTTTGACGTTTGTTATCTTCCGAGCTATCATCAAGCCCCCGTACTTGGTTGACCACGCGTTAGCCCAGCTCTTTATTATCTCTTCGCGATAAGGATCCAATGTCATAGCCTACTGTCAGCCATTAGACCCATTCTGGGCAAACTTGTCAAATATCATTCGAGTGAATAGCTATATGTTTCAACGAGGCTGAACGGAATTTTTCGGCTACTTGTCTCTGTCGTCTTGACCCTTGGACTTTAGACTGTACCTGAATTGTCGGCACAAGACCACACTGAAGAACCACCTGTCTGTTTGTAGTCGTCCACAATACCAAGAATCGTGCTGTAAGTTCCGGCAACCATTAGGAAGGTTCCGGATGCGATGACAAATACACTCCAAACGACCATCAGTCTCCACCGCAACGTTGGTGCTACCTTCCCCTTGCTCCAGTTGTCGTAAAGCCACATGCAACCCATCGGTTGGAATGACATGAAAGTGCCCAGGAGTGCACCGACGAGGGAGATAAGACTGTTGAAGACGGGAATGCCACTAGCAACAAGATATGCTACGAGAGTGACACCAAAGGTAGACCCAAGCCAGGTGAGCCAATGAACAGCAGTGTTAGCAGTGAGATGCCTCGATCCACGGAGGATGCGGACGAAAACATGCTTGCTAGCCAACTGTGAAAATGTTAGTAAGACATCCAATGACTTGAAGAGATTTCCTTACGTGAGTTACGAGGGTCGACGAGACCAACAGCCCAGCAAGACCAAGACCATACGCGACCTTCTTAACCAAGGGTCCAGCAGAGCCAAGGGCAGGCGAAGAGACATAAGAGCCGCAGAAGTAGTACACGACGACCCCCACAGCCACATAAACAGAAGTCACCACGCCCTGGCAAAGGAGCAAAGCACGGGTGTAGTATCTAGGATCCCTCATCTCTGCCGCGATCGGGAAGAAGGCACCAGTTCCAGCGTAGGAAAAGACGATTGATGAGATGGCCGAGATGGCCTTTGTAAAGGTAGGATTGTTGATTATTTTGAAGTCGGACACGAATACGCCGTCGGTGGGCGCTGCGGCAGGGCGGTCCTGAAGGCCAACAGCGATAGTTACGGTGAAGACTGCGTGGACGTTAGACTTCTTCGTGTATGGTCTGAAAGGGTGGCAACGTACCCGCAACCATAATACTTGTGACTCCTACCCATGCAAGCCATGTAATGCGGCCCAGAGTTCGTATGCTGGCTAATGAGAAACTAGCAATGGCGGCCACAGCAACAAATATGGCAGTGCAAGCTCCATGATGGGAGACGGCATTCAAGGCAGTAGAAACACCAATCATGGCAGAACTAGCAGTAAAGGTGAAGACTTATGCTGTCAGAAGGATTCTCGGAAGTTTAGTTCTAACGAAGAAAACTTACAAAGTACAAAGAATGCACCAAAGACTTCGCGTCCGATACGACCGAACAACAGCTCTCCTACATCGTCCATTCCGTATACTTGTGGATGGCGAAGCTTGAAGACTCCAACCATGTAATCTGACCAGGTAGTGATTCCTGCAATGGTGCAGAGAATGATGACACCTGGGACGATTCCAAGAACGTCGAAGATGGAAGGCATCGAAAGAACGCCGAGGCCGATTTGTGTCTTCATCATCAAGACCGATGTCCCTAGCCACCCGACCTAGAAGCTGTCAGCATGGTATATCTCTCAAAGGGGCAACCACAACTTAGAGGAGTACTGACGTTGCGATAATTGGGTCCATCTGCTGTGATCTCGCCAAAGACGGCATCATGCGTCACCGAGGGGTCTTCGAGGACCTGTCCGACATGAGATGGCACTGGAGCCATCTCATGCGAGCCATTGGCTGATTTCGATGATTTTGCCATAGCGATATTTGAGGAAGAGGAAAAGGAAGTCGTAAAGGGAGACTGTAAGGCAGCCGAAGCCAAGTCGGGTGTCAAAATGGCTGTTATTTATCTACGAGCGCCCCTGATAGCGACGCGGACAGCTTTGCCACTGGCCTGGGTGATTTCCCGCGTGGTTTTGCGGGGATAGTTCCTGACACGACCCCGGACTTGCCGCACTAAGTTGGTCTCACAAGGAACGCCGCGAGTCGTCAAGTAAGCTCATATCCCGGAGACCTGGTTGTTGTTCACGATAATAGCTCTATGAATAGAGAGATGTTTTTTTGTGATTATGAGAAAGCATTCCAGTCTCCCCATATTTTGAATCTGCAGGCCATCTATTTCAATGACTCTTCTTTCAATCTTGGACAGATGACAACACGAAAACTCTTATCTAGCTGTCCCCCGCAAAGCGGCATCGCAACGGACAATCGAACCCACCGTGGTCCGGGGAAGTGGGACGGCGCGCACGTTCCTCAAATTGTGAGTCGTCGAGGACTTCCTGATTCAAAAAGGCTCTCGACAAGACATTCCTAATCCAACCAGCTATGAAGAAACAGCGGAGCTTATGAAAAATTCTAAATAAGGGTGACACCCAGGGCCCGCCAGTATCATTAGCATTACCCAACCTGAACAGCAAGTGTCGCCGACCTCGGCCTGAGTGGAGTCCCATGCTCACAAGGTATCAAAGGGCCGATTCTCCTTCCTAAGATCCAATTGATTTCCCTGCGGTATGCCTATACCCTTGAAGATTCTATCCCTTCTATCTCCGAGATACTTTGCGCTTTTTTTTTTTTTTTTTTTTTTTTTTTTCCAAAGATCACCAATTCTTGGGCTCAATCGTGTGTGGCCTGTTCGCGGGAAGAATCTGCATGGGTGCATGAGTGCATGGGTCTCTAAGGTCCACCAGACATATCGTTCTCATGACACAAGTACCTTCGTGCGGATCAGTCTGCTACATGAACTTCCATCGTCAATATTTGCGTTCAAGAAGAGTCTTGAATCGAAAAGATAAAACGCAAACGTTCAATCTGGTGAGGTTGTGATCTGTGAATGTCCTGATTTGGAGCGCATATCACCCATGGCCGGACATGATCGTTACTAAATGACAAATGAAGCGCCCTCAATTCGAGAAAGTTAAGATGTTCTTGCGACGTGTGTGAGCATGTTTCGTCATTCGATATCCTGGTGCGGGCCAGGTGAGTGCGGCCCCCGGTTTACCAATTCGAGGTCCGGAATGCCGCACAGAGTCCCATAAAATCACCCGGCTCGGATCCGGACGGTGCTCCACGATTCATATACCAAGCCGGATTGGTACCGCGCGGGTGCCGGGAAAGCCTTCACGCATTGGGAGAGTACCGACGGTAGTTTCAAGGCCGGTCGTCCCCGGAGACCACTCCTGGGCTCTGTTGCCTCACACAAAAACCACTCAATCAAACATGAAACCGTTGCTCAAGGTGTTCCAAAGTCTCAGGAAGCGTGCTCATCCGGAGACAATTTCAAATCGTTCCATTCCTCAGAACAAAAACATGTGAACTTATTGGGTTAGCTGCGAGCGCCTCCGCTCTGTCAGCAGGTTGCAGAGACTCTTTCGGGCATAGGCTGTTCAACGTCAGGATGATGTCTTATCCCCGAATGGTGCTGATCTCTCCCACCGGCAAATATGGAGCGCCACGGTAGCACCGACCGGATGATCGATGACGTTCTTCAGGCCGGCCGAATGTTTAATATTGAACAGGTCACAATAAAAGGTTCATTCGAATAATCGAAATTTTACATTGGCATGTGTAGTCAATTCTATCCAAAGCTCAAATTCTAAAATCTCACAATATCTTCATTCAGCACAATGGCACCCAAAGGTCTTGCAATCTTGATTGGCGCTGGGCCGACTTCAGGCGCGGGTATTGCCCGTGTACTTGCCAGCCCACAGCACGGCAACCTCGCAGTTGCACTGCTAGCCCGCAATGCGGACAACCTCCAGAACCTTGCCTCTGATCTGAGAAAATCGTCTAATGGCATTCTACACCCCTTCCCGACGGACACTCAGCCGGACAATCTCAAGCGTGCCTTTCAGCAAATCGCCGATCACCCGGACTTCAAGGATCTCAAGCTGAAGCTTGCAATTTACCATGTCAAAAACTCGAGCCGAAAACCATTTCTGGAAGAGACGGCTGAAGCATTCAACGATAGCATGAGTATCTACACTACGGGTGCCGTTGTTTTCGCTCAGGAGGCGATGAAGCTCATGTACGCTCAGAACGGCGGCCAGACGTTGCTTGCCGACACGAATGGCGAAAAGAAGGGCACCATCATCTTCACGGGCACTCTCGGGGCCATGCGCACGAACCAGCAATATGCTGCTTACGGTGCTTCTCGTGCGGCGGCGAGGATGGTGGCACAGGCTATCGCAAAGGAGCACAGCAAGTTTGGTGTTCACTGTATCCATGCTATCGCCAATGGCGGGATCATTGATGAGGTCAACGAAGACACAAAGACCGGCAAGAGAATGAAGGCGGAAGATGTTGGTGAACTGTACCTATGGCTGTCACAGCAGCCAAGTTCTCTCTGGACGCATGAGTTGGACATGAGACCGGCGCAAGAGACCTTCTAGACGTGCGGGAGCAAGTAGGGGGCCATGGTAGATACTCAAAAAAAAAACGCCAATTACACCTTTATGTGACACATTGCTTTATTAATTCTAAATCTTTTAAGCTCTACAAACTGCATTTTGGATCTTCTTGGCTTCGTACTAGGCACGCCATGGTAGGTTAAACCATGCTTCGGCCCTGTGCTGGTGGACGCTCCTCCGTTGAGTAGCACTCTGCCACTGTGGTGTTCCCACCTGTCCTGACCAGGTCCATCTGACTCCCATTGTGACTCATCACTTCAATCTTCGTCTCGATCGCGATGTTGTGGCTAGGCTTCTTGCCCGTGCGGCTCTTCATGGACTGCATGTGATGGGACTCGCCAGCGGTCCTTCCGTAGAGCTGGCCAGATCGCATGTTGCTGCGTTGTGTACTGGCCAATAACTTGGGGAATGCCTTGGCGATGAGTGGCTTGAGTGCCGGAGCAGAAGCACAGATGATGGCGACATTGATCTCGATTCCAGACCATGTGGCGATGTGGACTCCGTCCCCTGGTTTTAACTGTTAACAGGCGATGGTATGAGCAATAATCAGAGGCTTCTTACTTGAAGTGTCCGGAGAGATAGAGATCTCGTACAAAGATCGAAGGCGGATGATGGAGGTAATGCAAACACTAAAATCCATAACGTCAGCTGAGCTTCGGTATGAAGCCGTGAGTCTTCGGTACTTACAAGCCACCAACGGCGAAGACCATGATGAGCGCAATCTTCTGCTTCCTTGAAATCTGCAAAGTTCTGATCAAGGGGATTGGGATAACGACAATGATTATGTCTGTTGCGATATTCAATGCCGCGTTTGAGAACCAGAAGGCCAAACGATCCATGCACCTGCCAGTGCCATCACCCCAGAAAGCCTGTACAGGAACGCACATGAAGATGGATCCAAAGACAGTCCATGCTCCGTAAATGGCGAGGACGACAAGCATTGCCTTGCAGATCTTCTGCGTCGTCGCGACCTTGAAGACCCTTAGGTACGAGAATATTATGGAAAGCTTGCAGAACAGGAGCGCCAAGTTGTATGTGGGAATTGTTGCCCAGAGACACTAGTATCAATGGTCAGATGCTTGGACGTGTCATGCTACGAAAGACTGAAAGGGAACTACCTGAAGAAATCTCACAAGATCGTCTGGCGTAATTGTTGCCATCGGCATGCCTAAACCAAACTTGATCTCTGTCGTGCTGTAGGTAAGCACGTGTCCATGTCGCTTTGCGTTTTCTGGTTGAGGGGGAGGCAACTTACGATGCATAACAACCACTGAGAACCCAATAGATGCGGCCTGTTTCAATAGTGTGAGCAAAGGTCAAAAGTTTAACGTCTTAGAAGGCCGACTTACCAAAGCTGCAGGAATCAAGTAATCGTCTACTCCAACATTTCCTACAACGATGATTCTGGTGTACAACCTCAACGCAACAACTATGAAAGAAAGACTCGTAAAAACGATGCTTGTCACAAAAGCCGAGACGGCCGGTCCGGCAACCATCTTGAGAAGCTTTTTACAAGACGCTTGGCGTAATCAGGGGCAAGGAACGAGAGACTCGAATCGAAGAGGCGAGGGAAGAAGCAAACTTTCCGCAATGATCATGGAGTCGACTGCGGGATCCCGAGAACATATGCATGCGAGGGGCGTTCGACCAGCATCATATTGAAATTCTTCAGCCAAGCGCATCTGCTGCATGCAGTCGCACACCCGCATGCTGAAGATTCGGATGAGGGCTTTCCTTGTTCGCATCGCCCGCATCAAGGGGTCCCAGTCTCAAAATGTCGGCAGGGTCCCTGTGCCTGGCTAGGTTGCCCGGGATGTGGAACCGGATCACCCGCCGGTCGAAGCCAGGGTGAGCTTGTTCCGGGGTCAACACCAAGAACAGGGGTACTGCCCCCATGTGAACAAGGGGGTTTTCCTGCGCGAGGAGGGCTTCGTCTCCCAACCAGGTTGCAAATCCAACCTTGGCGCTGTGGAAGTTGGCCAACCGCCTCCCAGGAAGTAGGTTCGATGCAGCAATGCGTTTGATGGTGCGACACATAACGAACGATCGCAGGATCTTGTTTCTAACTCCGTGTTCTTGGGACTTCTCGAAGCTTTTGAAATTCCAGTTGGGCTTTACAGATCGCTTTGGTATACTTATTAGCTTGAATCGTAGCCCAGATGCCCAGCAGTCTCCAAACTCCTCTGGAGATGATCACACCAGCTCGAGGATGTTGTGATCTGAGCTTGGGGGCCCCTAGTGCGCTATCCACTTCTCAGATTTGTAAATGCGCCTTGGAAGTGGACCTCCTTGAGTAGACGGGTACGGGACCGGTGGAAGGGTCTTGGACTTTGACAGGTGAATGAACCATGGTTCTTGTGCAAACGGCTCTTCCTTTGTGAAACTGTCTACTCCTGCCAAAATCAGGAAGTTTGGGCGTTTGTCTGAATCATGAGCAAAGTAGTTGGTTCGGTTTGCTCCGCATCAACCACACTTTCACCTCTTTTGGTCCATCATAAGGCTTAGGCGACCCCTTTTAGCCAGTTCTGACTTTGGCTCCATTCCCTCCTTGCGATTGCCAGACCTCGCCCTGAACGCTGCCTTGGTATAAAGTGGAAGACCTACCACCTGCTACGTCGTGGTATTCCAAAGAATATCAATCATGGCAATGAGGCATAAAGCTTCGGCATATGATATGAGAAAGACGCTATAGTCCGCTATAGCAATTGAAGGATTGATGGAGTGCCTGTACCATCGGCGTGGGCCGCCATCCAATATTGTGCCAACTGCGACCACCTTGGTTTTGGCCATACCCAATCTTGACCCCTGACTCCGCAAAAAGAAAATCTGGGAATACAAGGAAGTCGGCACGGAGCTTTGTCCGTCTGTGCAAGAAAGCGCCCCCAACCAGTCTCGCCTACGATACCACCGAATGCTACTCTACCAGCCCAGTTACGTGGCACTCATCACCACGATCGCGCTTTCCAGCCACTCTTCACAGGTCAACCTTGCGAACGCCGACATTAGACACACTCAGGGATGGGGACCCAAAGGAATAGAATCCTTGGAAAAGTCCGCGTAGAGCTCAAATGTTTGCACCGACGCACTCAGTGCAGGGCTTCGCGCCGTCTAAGCGCATCGTGTAGTACCAGCTGGTTTCGATGTCAAACACTTTCTTACCGAGATGCATCAAGGTCTCCGCGACATGGTTATGATGATCCCCCTGCGTCCTCCTCTGGAGTATGAGTAAGAAACATCATCTGCTGTCAATATCCGAGGCTGATCATGTCGATATCGGATGAGATACTTGTCAGATTGCATTTACTGTGGTGCACTGGTAGTTTCCGTTACCTATAGGGAGTGAGTTGACAGTGTTACTCCACGTCAGGAACTCATCCGTTATTGCTAGGCGGTCATTTTGGAATCCGATGTGACCCAATGGCTGTTCGGCGTAGAGTGAGCCGGTCAACGGGATGCTCCAAGTATTCTATGAAATATCCTTCCGATTTGGGGTGCGAGAACGAAGTCGCCGGTGATGATTACTAGGAGAGATCGAACAAACGGCAATTCACGCTCATGGAGGGACAATTCTTCGTCGAGATTGATATGAAAATAGAATAATACTTCTAAAAGCTGTCGTCCAAATTAAGCTCTTTAGTCACAGAGGGTACGTTGGGCGCGAGTCAGCGCCTTCCCGCATACTCTGGGGCAAGTCGAAGCCAAGGCGGCTGATACCGACAGCGCGAGATCAGGGGGCTCACCTCTCTACAATCATTACTTGTGAGGAGCCGTGACTGCGTGTAAGTACGATTTGTAGAACCAGATGCCCTCGGAAGAAAGATCTGCATACTATGCGTGCTGGTGACTGATACAGAGCGAACATCTGGGCCAGAGATAAATTGAGGACTGTGCTGGCTCGTCGTCCCAGTAAGTTGGGAAGAATGCGGTAGGTGCTGTGGATAGTTTGTCCTAAACTAAGTTTGCGTAAAGCTCTAGCCTCATATGACAATCCATCTTCAGAATTTGATGAAATAGGGATTCAGGACGTCTTACAATCACGCCGTAGGTTAGAGGAAATACTCACATTTTCGCTTGAAGGCAAAGCCATAGGACACAATGGATTTCGTAATTCGTGAGACACATTTACGAATGATTCAATGCAAGGGATCAGTTTTGGGGATACATGGCTGTGTGGTTGACCAGAGATCTTTGTATTATAATCCTCGCTACGCCATGCAGCTCTCACTTGGGTCTACAACAGAATTTCATTGTCAATCCTCTACTTCTTCGCCGGGTTCCTGGGGCCATCCACAGCCTTCTCGACGGTGCCCGCAATGCCGCCCTTACTGGCGTTGAATTGGCTTCCAATGGCACCGTCCTTGGAGAAGGGACCACCAATCTTCTCGCCTGTATTCCTATCAGTCATTATTCTCGTGGTAAGTGATGCTGCTTTCTTACCAATCTGGCCGATGTTACCATCAGGGTTGAACTGCTTGCCAATGGCGCCCTCAGAAGAGATGATGCTTGGGTTCGAGGGGTTTGTATCCATCTTCTCGCCAGCGGCGGAGGCAGCGTTGTGAATGGGGTTGTTGGAGGCCATTTTGAAGTAAAGTGTTTGATTAGATATTGAGCTGAGGTTTACAGTAAAGTGTGATGTTGAAATGATAGCAAGTATACAACCGATCTCAGGGACACTCCTAGATGATTTAAACAGATTTCCTGCATCCGAAAAGAGAGCATCTGCTTCTGATGCGCGTCATCTTTGACGTATTATCCTCCTGTATGTGGTGATGACGCCTTGATCGCTCGGAGAATGATGACATCATCAGATCGGACTCACAACCGCAATTCTCTCGGGGCCGGCTCAAGAGCTGCAAAGAATTAGAGCCATGTTACTTAGCGTATGGCTTTTCAGACGGAGTCGGAAAAACCGCCGCATGCAAAACCGCCATTTCCATATTCAAAATCCGCAGCACGTGCCCCCTGATGCTGAGCTCCTTCATCTGTCCCGAAGGTCAGGAACGGGATTAGCGCGCCGCCAAAAGCCGAGACACTTGTCAATGATGATTTCAATGATCTCAATATTGCGATCGATTCCATGAAAGGCCGCCTTTGAGTATCATTGCACAATTGAGGAGAGAATTGTGCAATGCTCTCGGTTGGCGTGTTTCATAACACATTTTCTACACTGCTCTAGGAGTGATCCTAAGGGGAGTCTACCGGCGCTGGTCAAGCAGCACTCCAGGACATCGACTGCGTCTCATCTACGCATGCACTGTTACGTCCCTGTGGCTGTGTACACTCAGCTGCAAGGTGCATTCTGAAATCTCGGGGTTCAAGTTTGCCCGAAGGACAGGGAAAGCATCCGTCAACGCGATGATGCCCTGCAGAGACGTTTCACCCAGCTGTCGCCTGCCGGTGTTCTTCCGTAGGTCATCGGCCAGTTCATCATGGCTACTTCACATGAATGCGAAGTACGAGAACCCGAGCCATGAGGCTTGCCTCTGGCCTCCATCGGCCCTGTGCGGCAAATATTCCATCCGAGTAAATCCAGGAACGGTTCTTGCAAAACCAAGGACACTCTCCGGCCCCTGCATCAGAACATCCTCCTCAGCGGGTCGTCAACACACGAGATCCTGTGAACCAGTCGTTGGCAGCTCCCTTGCCGACCAAAAGGTCACAGATGGAGCCGATGGAATAGCCGAAATACCCACCGTGCCAGCCCAAAATCCAACTCTGAGAGACCCCGGTCAGCATCTCCAGGTCGCATTGCTGCCCTCCGATATTCTCCCTCCCACAAGGAAATCATTTCCTCTCCTGTCTCCTTCTTCTACCTTGCAAGATGAGACGACGCAAGTTGTGGCTGCGTGATCATCGCGACATGACAGTTCTAGAACAGCAATTGCCGGGCAGAAAATTCCCAAGAGATAGAGTTTCGCGCTTCCCCGGAACATGGAAATCAGGCTAGCGAGGATCCCCTGCTCTCGGCAGTCCACTGATCGCAGCGGACAATATGCTTGTATGAACTTTCACAGTTGCACCTGTGGCAGGACGCCATCCCAACGACGACCGTACAAGCGTACATAAATTATAAACACAAATACCGTCCATTCTCAAGTTGAATGCTCCCAGAGGCACATTGCTTGTGGTGGGTGATGGCGGCATCCCTACGAGGACGCGGGACCAGGGCAGAAAAGGAGGGGCCACTTTCCGATCTCAGAAATACCCACATCTCTCGCAACATGCATCCCGGCCCCTGCCCTTGCTTCTTCCTCGCTGGCTTCTTGCTCAACCTGGCACCAACAGCGACGAAAGTACGGATACGGTTCCACCCTGCCCCGACATTGGTATATGCAACCTCGTACGATGTCTGCAGGACTGGGAACTTGGAAATGCGACTTGGTGTTGGTCACCGAGTTGCAGAATTTGCTACGCGATATTGGCATGGGTTCGACGGGTTTGGGGCGAAGACGAGATCTGCTTTGCGTTTGGCTGTCGCTTTCTTGCCTGGACGAACTGGATTTCCTCAGACGAGTTAGTAGTCAAGTTATGCAAGTTACGGCGCTCCGGATGGTGCAAACTACGCTTCATCATTCTCGTAACTATCTCAACCGTCGTATCTAAGTCTCGTGACAATCTAATTAATGATTAATAGCTCGTGGCTGTAGGTTCAAGCGCGGCTCGGACTATCTCTTGTGATGTAATAATCGTAGAAACACCTCACGACTTGTTGGAATACAAGTCATCATCCTTCTCCGCCGGCGCGTCAATGTGCATGTTGAACTCGTTCTCGAGCTCCACCAGGAAGAAAGCCCCTACACGATCGGCGTTAGTGCGCGTAAACCAATACTTCAGATGAGGCTACAACTTACCAATGGCAGCGGCCACGGTGATGGACCCAGCCGCGATCCAAACGAAGCGGAAACCGAGGCTGTACGTCTTCAGCAGAGCACCCGCTCCGGCTTGGATGATGTCGACCGTGACGCCCTCGACCTGCGCCAGCCCGGCAGTGTCTTGCGCGGCCAGGAGGCCGATGAACTGCGGCAGAGATGACTGGGGCAGGCCGAGCGGGAGGACGGCGGCGGCGATGTTGGTTCCCATGTGTGACATTTGGTCCGTGAAGATCGCGTTGTCTATAACAGTGCATGTTAGCAATCCCTTCAACTTCAAGTAGTTGCGTCTCGCGGACGTATTGGGGGAACCTTACAAACTGCAAGACCAACAGAGCCGCCTAGCGACCTGACCCCAATCATCAAACCGCTCGTGATGGCAATCAGCTCAGGGGGCGTGGACAGTTGCGCTACTGTGACCAGCGTACACAAACAGATTCCGAGACCGATGCCCAGGAACACAGGGTACCCCCAAACGGGTTCCGAGGTCGTCGGCGTCGTCGTCGCCATGCACACAAAAAAGATGATCATGGACACAAACGCGACAACAGTGGGCCAGCGCACGTTTCTCGTCTTGGAGCACCACAGTCCAGCCAGAACGGCCGCGACGCCGTACACAATCATCGTCACGCCGTACCGCAGCCCCGTGCGCAGCGCGTCCGTCTCGTAGAGCACGCCGACCTGGAAGGCGAAGTAGTTGTTCGCCGCGAAGAAGACGAGGCCCTCGACAAAAACGCAGACCAGCGCGATGGGGAAGTTGCGCCCGCGGCGGAAGAGGCCGTGATGGAACATGCCGTCCGTCTTGAAGCGCGTCTCGTAGAGCGCGAGGGCGGCGCACAGCGCGCAGCCGACGACGAAGGGGGCGACGGTGTGCGCGTCGGTCCACGGGTACGGGTTCTGCGACCACGAGAGGCCCATGCAGAAGAGGACGAGCCCCGAGGAGAGGAGCGCGTAGCCGACCCAGTCGAGCTTGGCGAGCTTCTGCGAGAAGGTGAACTGCGTCTGCTTGGCCGTCTTGGGCGGGTTGTACAGCGCGAGGACGAGCAGCGTGGCGGCGGCGTAGACGGCGGTGGCCATGTACCAGTAGTTGCGGACACCGGCGGCGGCGTTGCCGTTGCGGGTGAAGGCACCGCCGGCGAGCAGCGCGACGAGGCCGCCGAGGGCGGCGGAGAGGTTGTCAGCGGCCTGGGCCCAGGGGCGGTAGCGGCGCGGGAGGACCTCAGAGGCGACGGCGTGCAAGAGAGGTTGGGCGCCGTAGGAGCAGCCGGTGACGGTGAAGCCTGCGATGGCCATGGCCATGGAGGTGGCGCGGGCGACGACGACGGAGCCGACGATCCCGCAGGCCGTGAGGCCGATGAGGAACCAGCGGCGGCCCCAGTAGTCTGCGGCCTGGGAGACGATGGGGGAGAGGACGACGGTCATGATGGCGATTGTGGAGGTCAGCCAGACGCTGTTTGAGCTGTCGCCCAGGACGGCGGCGAGGTTTTGGGTTTGCTTGAGGAGTTGGGAGTGTTAGATTTTCGATCTCGAGATTTGGTCTGGGAAACGATGTTGAACACGTACTGCTCCTGCGCCGACGACATTGATGAGCTGGGCAAAGTAGATGACACAGACGGCGAAGACGGTCAAGAAAGTCTTTGCGTGGAGGTGAGGTACGGGCTCATTGGCATCCTCGATGCTCTCCTTTGGCTCATCGCGGCTAGAGGGCGCAACTGGGTTTGGTGTTTGGTCGGCGGAGGGAGTCTCCTGGACGTTGTCCGAGACAACTTCCTTCGGGGATGACATTTTTTGGTGTTTGATAACGACTGAATCAGAGTTGGTGGTGAGAATGAAAGTTGTGAAGGACGAAGAATCAAGAGAAAGTTGAAGAGTCACCGAGACATGGTTATCGATCAAGAGACTTTGACCAATATCGTTCGTCCCCTTTCCAACCCCGACGAGACTTTGACAACAGGGCTTCAACAACACGCGCATCTGGCAATTGCCAAACTCAGGCTTTTCGCTCACCTCATCGCCCGTTGTATTCTCGTGCGTCGGAGGTTGGACGAAGTGCTCGACAGGGATGCGAACCCTTCTTCCAACCAAGGGGTGGTGTCCAGGACCCCAGAAACGGGTCCATAACCCATGATCCCGGTCATATATCTTCAACGGGGCAGCAACCGCCCTGTCTTCTCTGCACAATTCCACTCAGGAACCCCTTCTTCAAGTATGTACCACGATATGTCTTCTTGTCCCTCCACCAGTTTCAACCAACAAGCTTCCACCCAAGGGCAATACTGCAACACTCCAGGGCAGCAATTTGCATCCGTAAGGGCTTACGTACGGGCATCCCACCCACCGTCCGATGCGATGCAACACCAAAGTCCCCGCCGTATGCGGCACAGACTGGATCGAATGCTTGTTCACTGGGGCCCGGACGACTGGGCTCGCTGGCCCCCGGCCGACTGGTCCCTGTTCCGCGCAGAATGGCTGCCCCAACAAGGACCCCTTCTGCTGCTTCATGGTCTCCGGACCTTGTCTTCTTTGTACGGGTGAACCCCTCCTCTCCCAATCGCACACAGGCTGGGACGCGCCACCCGTTGACGGGTGCATTCTTGGCTGCAAAGGGCATCGTGGGCCGATGGGGGGCTGAGGGAAGTCGGGACCGTGGCCGTGTCGCTCTCCGGGAGCCCCTCCAACATGCAAAGATGGGTTGAGAGCCATATCGACCCGCATCGGCGATAGTGACACCAAATCAGGTCTTTGGCCCCAAGCGCAGCTTAGCTCTCCCCGTCGGCCGAACTATTTCCACGTCGTCGCTGGACTAGCCACCTCCCATCCATCGTCTGTGCTGTATACAACGCCAGACCTCGGATCAACCTCCCCTTGGAAAGTTGTGTCGATCAACGACTCTAATTTTCATCCCATCCCACTCGCTCCCCCCGCGCCACAATGGCTCCCCTCAAGATCCTCATCGCCGGTGGCGGCATCGCAGGCCTCTCCGCCGCCGTGGGCCTCCGCCGCGCCGGGCACGAGGTGCACGTCTACGAGCGCTCGGCGCTCAACAACGAGATCGGCGCCGCAATCCACGTGTGCCCCAACGCGGCGCGCGCGCTGCTCGCCTGGGGCCTGGACCCCGTGAAGGCCAAGTTCGTGCTGGTGCGGTGCAGCTTCCGGGCCAAGGGCGACACGCTGGAGAAGTTCCACGTCGGGACGGAGGACTACATTGAGGAGAGGTACGGCGCGCCGTGGTACTTTGCGCATCGGGTGGATTTGCACGAGGAGTTGAAGAGACTGGCGACGCAGGTTGTTGAGACGGAGAACGGGACGAACGGCGTGAATGGGCACGCGAAGGGAGGGCTGGGGATGCCTGCTACTGTGCACTTGCAGAGTGAGGTGGTGAAATATGTGAGTCCTCCTTACGCTCGTCTTTGGGGAGGTAAGGTTAACATGACCCGCAGGACCCCGAGGGAGCGTCAATAACGCTGGCCTCCGGTGAGGTCGTCACTGGAGATGTTGTCATTGCCGCTGACGGTGTACACACTATTGGCGTGGAAGCTGTCCTCGGCCACTCCAACCCGGCGGTGCCGCAAGGCCATTACAACTTTTGCTTCCGCTTCCTCATCCCGGCCGCGGATATCGAGGCGGATCCAGTGACCAAGTTCTGGACTGAAGGCGACGATGGACGGATGAAGTTCCTGGTGGGAGACAAGAAGCGTCTCGTTTCCTATCCTTGCAGAAAGTGAGTGGGATATGCTGTGACGAGTGGAAAGGGTAATTGGAATGCTGACTTGCGCAGCAACGAGGAGCACAACTTTGTGGCCATCTTCCACAACGATGACATCGAGTCCACTAAGAAAGAAGACTGGCATGCGTCTGTGGGCAAGGAGAAGCTTCTCGAGAGATATTCTGACTTCCACCCGAGTGTGCTTGCCATCTTGGAGTAAGCGATACCTCTGACTCTGCACCAGGGACTTAGAAACTGACGTCCTCATAGCAAGGCCACCGAGGTGAAGCAGTGGGCTCTGCTGTACCGAGCCCCCATTCCTTCATGGACGAAGGGAAAGATGACTTTGGCGGGCGACGCTGCCCATCCCATGTTGCCGCGTAAGTAGCATCGCTGCTAAGGATGCACGGAACAGAGACTGACGGACAGCAACCAACAGACCAGGGCCAAGGAGGAGCCCAGGGCATCGAGGATGGAGTGGCCCTCGGCATCGCACTTGCCTCGGCGGAAGCCAAAGACGTCGAGACCAGACTGCGGGTGTACGAAGACATCCGCAGAAACCGCGCCAGTGTCATGCAGATTTTCAGCAACGCGGGCCAGGAAGAGCCGGAGCTCATCCGGGAGGAAGCGTCCAAGTTTATCCCCGCGGACAGGGTGCCGAGTAAGTTGGGCCACAAGCCTTCACTAGTTGGAGCAACGGACCAAACCATTCTGACTCATATTGCAGAAAACCCCGAGGAGTTCTTTGCATACAATTTTGGATACGACATCATCCGAGACAGTGTCCAGCAGGTGCAAAAGGTAGACGCGTCGTTTGAGCTCCCGGCGTCGTTCTTCCAGAAGGCGCCCGGAAAGGGTGTTTATCCGTGAGAATTGGTCGGAATGCAAGCGTGGACATAATGATGTCGCAAGGTTAAGGTTCTTGCCGAGCGGTGTGGTGCATTAGACGATTTCCTTGGATACCACGAGGCCTGGGCGGAGACCACTTGGGAGGCTTTTCGTCTATCAAACTTCTGGCCATCCCGCCCGTCTGGTTCAAGTAATAGTAACGTGCTATATAGGAGTCAATTCAGAGTACAGGAACGGATAGAAGTCTTTCAGAAATGCAGATCGAATTCCTGGTGCAGTGGGTTGGCCCAAAGAAACATTGCCAGGGCCTCAAACGTACCTCAGTATGGCACCTCGTACAGACTTTTCTGCCGCTATCGGGCGAAACACGGCACCGGCAATCATAAATCAGAGCGTATCCGTTCCTTATCCAAGATAGGTACCCCGCGGTGTCGGAATCATCGGCCGTCAGTGAGGCGCGGAGGGAGAGGGGGAGGGGAGGGGAAGAAGTTGGCAGTGGAAAGGCGGTCAGCTCAGCGCAGCGCAAACGGCGGCGGGAGGCAGGCGGCACCTCAGGCGGCAGGCGGCACCTCAGGCGGCAGGCGGGCGCCAAGCAGCGCCATGCATCGTGGCTGCGGCTATCCGGATGCGGCTCCACCACGCCATGCAGCTGCTGAGCTTCACCACTGGCGGCACTGGACACTTGTCAGTGCAGTACCTCCAGTACCTCCCCCGCCAATCGCTCTAGCCAGGGCGGGGTTCTTCTCAGGCCTTCTGAGCTGCAGCTAGCTGAGTCCAGTTCAGTGAGCTGTCTCTCAAGCTGCAGCGTCGACTCACCAAGGCACTGTTGCAGTCTGCAGCGAGGCCTGGAGCCACCTCGGGCACGAATCTCTCTTCTTTTTTTCCGTCTTTCCCAGATACCTGCCGTACCTTATCTTGGAGAAGTCCCTTAGGTAAGACTGAAAAGACAGCCGAAGCGGACCACCTCACCGAAACTCTGCAAAACTCAATCTTCAGAGAAAGAGACGCTCTGCCCCTCACTCTCGTTCACTCATTCCTCGGCAGACAGCATTCCTCAGAAGCTTCTTCTGGACAGCTTCGACACACGGACGCACACTCAGACACCCGACACAAAAGACAAAGAAGAACGCACACGCCCACACGCCCCAAATCGCCGAAAATGGGTAGAGAAGACCGCTACGGCTACCCATCATCATCTTCCCGCCGGGACTCAAAATGGGATGATAGCGAGGACTCCCTCAGACCCTCCGCCCGCGGCCAAGACTCTTCCTCGTCCTCCTCCAGACCCCGCTCGAGATCACGCTCCGGGACACGCTCGACAAAGACGCACAAATCCTCAAAATCCTCCAAGTCTTCCCGATCCTCAAAGGCCCCCGAGGTCGTCTCCAAGCCCTCCAAAACCCCCAAAGATCCCCGCGACATGCCTCGCAAACGCAAGTCGACCGGCGGTGAGACCTCGTCTACCACCGCCGCGGGCACAAGCACGAGCACCGAGATCGCCAGTACCAAAAACACCAGCAGCGGCAGCACCTTTGGCGTCTCCCCGGCCGGCCTCTTGAGCAACCTCTCGTCTGCATACAGCGTCTTCCAGGCCCTCCCGAACCTCTCCAACCTCACCGGCGGCGGTTCTGCTGCTCCCACGACCCCCAATGGCACCCCCATGACCACCTCCTCCTTCGAGCTCGCCCTCCCCGACACGCCCGTCACGAACCTCCTCAACCCCTCCAACCTCCGCTTCCCCAACTCCCAGGACGTCCTCCACGCCCGCCTATCTACGAACCTCCCCCGCCACGGCAACGCCTACGTGATCCTCCTCGTCGGCACCCTCCTCACCTCCCACTGGCTCGTCCTCGCCGCCCTCTTCGGCGTCGTCAAGGGCGGCCTCTTCCTCCAGTCCTACAACGGCCGCGACATCGCCCGCGACCTCGGCGTCCGCAAGTACGCCTCCTCTCAGCAGCTCATGACCGGCTTCGCCGCCGCCGCCGCCTTTGTCGCCCTCTGGGCCTTCTCCTCCATCTTCAGCGTTGTCCTCACCATCGTCAAGGTCGCCGCCCTCGTCTGCGTCCACGCTGCCTTCTTCGACATCGACGCCGCCCCCAAGGGCCGCCCCATCCACAGGGTCCCCAGCGGGCCTGTCCCTACACAAGGTGTGCTGAGGCCCGCGGGAACTTCTGCTCTCACGCCGCAGAACGCCGTCGCCTGGGCCGGCCAGCAGATCCGCTCCGTCAGCGAGGGCAACCTCAACCTCAGCACCGCTGCCGCGCAGGCCAACGGCTGGTTCGCGGGCGAGGGCTTCGTCGAGGGTGACCACGAGGAGTTCGTGGCCATGCCGCGGCCGCCGCGGTCTTCGGGTTCATTTGACCAGTTCACGCCGCGCAGCGAGGAGGGCGGCGTCGAGGAGATCCCGCGGCCGTGGGGGTACCACGAGAACGCGAGGCCGCAGAGCTACGTCGCGGGAAGGTCCTACTAGAAATTCACAAACGACATCACGAGAAAATAGGGAAAAGAAACATTATCCAGAGTTACGGCGTTCTCTAGTTTCATTGACGTTGGATGGTTTTTTCATGGGAATGTGGAAGCTAAGATTGGCGCTAGATAAAAATAGAAGCTTGCTCTCCCAAGCCATTCCCTGGTTGAAAATGTTTCCGAGTTCACGAAACAATGCACAATGGTTCCTTCCCACGCAGATCACCCGCGATTGACCTTGCTCCTGGCATGAATTCGCCAAGTCATGACAATTGCGGGCGGTCTTGATGGAATTTTGGCATTCCGCCGGTCAAAAATTGGATTGTCGCGATGCTGCCATACCGGTCGCGTGACCTCGCGTCAAGAACGCGCGAGCTCCCCCGCGGACCTAATACAAGCAGAAACAATTCACGCACGAGAAATCTTCTTCCTCGCGACCAGGGACAGCACCCCAGCGCGCAATGAAAAAGAGAAAAAAGCCTGTCAGACGTCCATCGACACCCACCCCGCCCGCGCGCCACAAGGGCAAGACCGCAGACGGGGACGAGATCATCACCGCTCTCTATACAGCCTGCGAACAAATCGCCGACCGCCATCCTTGCGGACAGGTCGAGAGCAACCAGAGTTCTTCACTCTAGGGTGCCGAGGATATCACTCATCAACCAGGGTGGGATCTGTGGCTCCTGTAGGGAACCAAGAATAGGTCGAATACTATAGAAATGATTCTCTGAAGTATTGTCGACATGAAGAAAAAAAGAAGAAAGAAAATCCTAAGAGAGCGGGAGGGAAGAGAGGTTTATATAGAGGAAGCGAGGGGAGGGGTGTGGGGCAGGAGTGTGCCGCGATCAGTAGATTTTTCGGCCAATGAGAATTCGGGGGTTGGTGGGTGGGTGCGGTGGGTACGTACTCGGTGCTGCCTGAAAAGTCTGCATCGTGGTGAAATGGGTGGAAAGAGCGGGTTTGGGAGCGCGCTGGGTTGAAATTTTTGAGGCATCCAGGCAGAAGGGAAATTTCACTCTTGCAAGTTGGGATTTGGGTGGGAGAGTGCGTGGGTTGATGCTGCTGGATGGGATGGACGCGACGGCTGTTGTGCTTGATGCCTTCTTGGTCTGCTGGAGATATCCACAGCTGCGATTCGGATGACCTCGTCAGTTTAAAAGGGGAGCAAGCGTCTTGAGGCTGGTGTGCTCTTCACGCAATGAGCGACTGTCTTTTTCCCGGCATGTACCATCGTCTGTTCCAAAGGCATCAGAGTCTTCCGCAGTATCACAGGGTCGGAATCCATGCGGATGAGATTGCCTTGGCGTCCTTCCTCCGCTCTTTCGTCTGCCTAATCGAGGTTGTTATTCTCGCTTCGCATCGCAGTTATTGGTTTGTGAGCTCCGTGTGTCGACGCCGCGCCTTCTGTTCCCGGCATTTTTCCCACCTCCAAAATCAGCACGTATCAGAACCCCAACACGAAAAGACGCGTTCACAATGCCAAGCCCAGAGACATTCCCTCCGCCAGCCGGCGAATTCTTCAAGCTCTACATGCATCCATCCAACAGCGACAAAGACAAGAACGCCATGATTAACATGTACCAGCTCTATGATTCCTACCACTGGTGTGCAAATCTAGGTGTTACATATGCTCAGGGGTCGTGGGGCTACACAAGTGAGCCTCCTACATTAACATTCACCAGATTTCCACCCAACTGATACATTCCCTTCAGTATTACGCACCGTGTATTCGGAGGAATCCGACGTCTTATGGCAAGAAGGCATTGAGAAAATGAAGCGTTGGGTAACCCAGTATCTAGTCTATGTTGACTATCTGAGGAGTAATAAGTCCGACGCCTCAGTCACTGAAGAAATGGCGCGACGTTTCGCCGTGGACGTCGTTGAGGACCAGGGCGGGTATTCAAAAGCGCTGAGGCACTATCCCAACTTGACGAGCGCCAGCCAGCAAGACATCAAGTCGCTCGTCGAGATTTTTGAGACCTGGCGTGGTAACACTCTCAGCGATGTCGACATGGAGACCAACAGCCGTTATAGCCCCCGGTTCTGCGACTTTCTAGTCATCGACGGAGGTTCTCTCTGCTCGCTCGCTGCACTCCCCGATGAGACGCCGCACTTGGCGCCAGTGAGTCGTGCCGAAAGAATGGTAGGGGCCCTGTTACTTTGTAAGTAAGGCCTACTTTGACACGATTGATAGGCCCGGAATGTGCTGTATGAGAATTCCTACGTCTGGCTCATAGAATCGCGCGCCGCGAAACGCTTCCAGGGCGTTGAGGACGCGGTCAACTACGATGGGTGCATGAAGCTGAGTGTAGGTGATATCTATGAAGCGCGGTTTGAGAGGGTAGCGAGATTCGAAGACTTGGACTGGATTTCTGAGCGGGAAAAGAAGGACGGAGAAAAGTGGTATTCTCCGCGATAACAGCCTTCATGATTACGACACTGCAGGTTAGGTTGTTTTTTTATGTTGCATTTCCATCCACAAATTTCGGGGTTCGACAACCCAATCCTGCACGGGGAGATATCTCTGTTTCGAAGTCGGTTCCAGCATCGCGACACTGTCCTCTGTTTTGCGTAGTTTCCAGAGGTGGATGGTCTGGCTGATCTTGAAAGAGGCCGCTCGTGCAGTTATGATTACGGCACCGAGGTCCCGTTGTGACTGATTTCTGGCATTCTCCAGACCGGACTCTATCGGCTATTACTGAGGCATGAACTACCAGCCAGCCAGCGTACTTTTATGAGAACCTACTGTTCTGAGCCTTTGATTGTTCCTGAAATCGATTTTGTTGGTCCCAAACCTTCTAGTTCTGCTACTATGGCATGGTCATAGTCTGAACATGTGTAACAGACAAGCTGGGATCAGAGGGTGGATTTAATCTCTCTTGCCGCGCTTATGGGTATTGTTATTCCTCATCTTTTGCCATTTATTCGGGGAGGCGTTCTCATTCTTGCTTCAGATCATCAACGTGATTCTTTCTTGGCAGGCATGTGTGAACGCCGGTCGACAGCATTACTTTCTCAGATTTGCACTGAACTTTTCAGAGATTGGCCATATTTGCTTGTTTAGCAAGTCCACCTCTCGGATTTATGCCTCAAATATATATCCTGCACTCTAGGGATAGCAGGATATGAATGACTAAGGGCATGTCTCAGCGGTCTTCTACAGTTGGCTGGTCAGGGGGGTTATAATCTCTGATCCTACCCACATCAGCGATGTGGTGAAGATCAGCCATGGCTTTAGCAGCACAGTGCCTCTTTTTTATATAAAAACATTCATTTTTCGTCATCTTGATGATTTTCCAGAGGCGGCAAAATACAAGTGGCAGTTTATCTTCACCGGCTATCTAGCTAACAACGCTGAGGCTTGAGCATAAGATGTCACTTGATTGCTTAGTTGCTGACTGGTATGAGGTCAGCATTTGTCGTTTTGCTTGACTCTGTTCCTATACTCTGTCTTTGGCCGTGTATTCAAATCGGATTTGGAGACAAGTAGTCTTAGGAGTGTTCCATATCAAGTTGGCATCTCATGGTCTAACGTGGACGCACTGCGTTCACGGCAACAATCTTAACGGTAACATGTCCTACTGCCCCATCAGCAATATTTTCGTGAGACAACAATCTTTGAAGAATCTCTTCAGTGTAACTTGCTGACATGTCACATTTATAGGCATGCGAATGCTGCATATCGCCTTCGATACAGCGCCCTGGGCCCTGCTGGTATTATGTTCGTGTCCGCGCGGTCGCAGTGTTTCATAAGACATGCTTGCCGGTATGCTTATTATGCGCTATGTTCAAGGCGGTCGATGGCACGCATGTAAGATGCCTCAAAGTTGTCTTTGGATTTGCTGACCACGCCATCTTTCCTGAGAGCCAAAGAAAGCCGGTCCCAGTATAAGAGGGCGTGGTCTGTACGACCTTGAAACTCCACAAGACAATGATCGCCGGATTTGGCGTCAATTCTGGGCTGCTAGATCGTGCTTGACGTGTTGTCAACTCATGAGCTCTGTGCTGTTAGCTGGCGTCAGCCCCGCGATGTGACGTGAACGTCGACTGTCCCTTGCCCGGCTCTGTCCACGATATCTGTCCGTGGAGGTGTATTCCCACCGACACAAACCAAAATACTCGCCGATGTGAGTGTGTCACGTTTCATAACAGAAGTAGAATCATGCTTGTAGCGAAGGACGACGAAATGACACTCAGTCTGTCACATCTTTACGCTGCATAGATCGCTCCATGCGATTTGCCGTTTCAAACGATCTAGCTGCATCTACCCTGTATTTAAATGTCTGATCTTAAGCATGAACCTCTTCATGCAGATCTACCAAGCTGATAACGTCTGGTGTTGTTCTCAGAGGTATATATATCAGCGACACTGGTTCTCTGAGAACTGTGCAGCACGACGAAATGTAACGCTTCTGTGGTATGTTTTCTACACGGCCTTTGAGGTGGAGGCAACGTGCCGGTCGTGTGTTCCTGTCATATTATCCGATTCAGACGATAATCCACTTAATAAACCACGACATATCTTTGCAGGTAGTGTCTTTCATCCGCAGCTTTGTATTCGGAGAGAAAACGCCGCAGACAAGACTGCATATTCGTCGACGTGTCTTTTTTTTGCGGCTCAGCGACTTGTATTGATTAAGCTGCGACCTGAGAATGTAGATTTTCCATCTTTTTCCACTTTCGTCGTCAGTTGCCTCAATAACAGCTATAACGACACAGATTGCATTTTGGGCATCCCATTCTCCAATGTCAGCATCATAAATGGATCGTTTTCGGCATGATGCTTCGTTGTGCCATTCATTCTATGCAAATGTTTTCTACGACTTCGAAATCAGCAAAGCCCAGCACGCCCACAGAGGAATACCAATGCACGAGACATCCAGCAGGAAAGCTGGGGCATGGAATATGATCTAAAGGCGAGGAAGCCCAAAATCAAAAACCAAAAAAAATCCTCACCGGGCTCCGAACCTGTGATCCCTGGCAGCCACTCACACATCAGGTCGATTGACCCGTTGAGCCAGTTGGACCCAGGGCAAGTCTGATAGCGCGGTTGAGCAGAACGGTCGCCTGGCTCGTCATAAAGGCAGGTGAGATTAGCCGTTGCTTGAGGCAGGAGCGGTCTCGTGTGCCTTAGGCAGGCACCAATACACCTTCACATTCACCTCAGATGACCCACACTACGCCGCTCGTCCAAGCCACCTCACAGAGCACGGCTTCCCTCGTAACCAGGGAAGTATTTGACACAGGACTACCGAAGGACACACGCAAGCTGGGAGATGTTCTTGACTGAGCTTCAATATTCTCTTTCGATCCATCTGGGTTGGGTATCTATGCTAGGCAACACAGCAAGCACGCCTTTAAACAAAGCATCTACGTAGCCTCTTGCTCGTCATGCGATCCCTCTGACCCATGCTATGTATCGTAATGACCCTAAACACCACGCTTGAAAAGCAAAATTACATGGTATGATAAGCGCTTGAACACCTTGCCCCTCCCTCATGTTAACATATCAGCGATACTTCTTCGATGACTGATTCAGTCCCACACGCCTGCATCTAGGAATCCCCCATTGGAAAACCTCCCAAAGAGTTGACTACTCGTGATGCCATTCTTCTGCTGATCCTGCTTCTCGCGCTCCCGCTTCTCCCGTTCTTGTCGTTCTTCTTCCTTGGTGCGCTCGAGATCGGCCTGGACATCGCACATATCGATGAACTCATTAAGATTCTCGAGCACAGCGTCCACGTCATCGACCTCCTGAGACACCAGCTGAAGTGGCTGCTGCGAGGCTCTCGGTACATCGTGCGCCACCATGTGTGCCTCGGGCGCCGCTGCTTTTGCTCCAAGGGCGTCTGCTGTGACAAAAGCTTCGGCCATGGCCATTGGCCCGGGGCTTTCAAGAACCTGCTGTGATGCGGACGGGAGGAGCCTGTGGGTGATCTTGGTCCTGCGCGAGACCGCCTGAAAGTGCTTCTGGAACTGGTCATCTTCACCGGTGGGAAGATCTGCTACTGCCAACTCTGGCGGCGGAGAGGCTGTCCTGTTCACCAAGGGGGTGGCAGGATCACTGCCGTCAGGGGATTCACCACCCTCAACCTCCGGAGCCCATCTGACACGCTTGGTTGGTCTGGGAGTCGCGTCCCAAGGGTTGTCGACTGTGGCTGCCAACAGGTTTTGCGTGCTTGGCAGATGGCCCCCACTCACGCGCGCCCTCTTAGGCTGGCGCCGAGGCCTTTCGGGAGAAGGTGACATGAAGTTGGCAAAACGCTTGATCTCAAGGATCGGTTCAGGCGTCGAAGCTCTCACAGTCTCCATGGGAGGTACTGACTCCTGTTCGATGGCGGGCTCGGCCAAGGGCGTGGGCACATATGCTGAAGTTGACGAGGCAAGCGGCGAGGGTGAGGCGGGCATGGGGCTGTTGAAAGAATTGAAGGCCAAAGCTTCTGCAGCAGCCTGACGCATCTTGACCGGGCTCGAGGCCCAGGGGCTCTGGTAGCTGGGATCTAGGAAGCTGTGCTGGCTGTTCTCCCGAATCGATTGAAGCTGGCGCACTGGGGCAACGGCAGGTACGTCCGCCTTCCAAGGACTTTGCTGAGATGCTGGGAGAGCTGGGCTCTCACGCGCGGGGGTGACGTCGTCGGGTTGAATGCTAGATGATGCATAGTCTTCAGACCGTTGAATATCTGTCCGGACGATCCCAATCATGGACTCAGAGTGGGGCATGTGCTTGGAATTCATTGGTGTAGGTTCGAACTCGTCGTCTTGAACCATGGGCGTCTCTGGATTGGTGTACTTTTGTCCACCCATGGGTGTCTCCGTCGTATAGCTGTGATCCTGATGTTCCGCCGATTGAGCAGGAGGACAAGGACTACTCGGGCGAGGCATTTCGGTTTTCGACCAGGGGCTTTGTTGCGAAATCTCCTGGGCGGCACTGCTGACGGGAAGATCCTGCATGACCGGAGAAACGGCGGCAGCAGTTTGTTGGTCTAGTACGACGGCTGGGGTTGGTTGGGGAGGGACTTGCTTGGGTGTCGATGCCCTCTGCTTCTCCGGCAAATCGAGTGGCACCGCTGCCGTCTGTTCCTGCTCGGCCGGCACCTCTTCGTTGCCGGGTTCAGTATGAGTATGCTTCTGCTTCTGTGGCGACTCAGGTTGCGCGACTATCGTGCGTTCCTGACTGGCCGATACTGGCTCGTCCTGAGCATTAGTCTCCCTTTGCTTCGTAGCAACTGCACAATGAACTGTCTCTGCCATATCTGTAGTCTCAGAGATGACCGTTCTCCTCATAGCAATACCCGAGGCCAAATCTGCGGCCAGTTGAAGTAATGTCCCCTTGGTTCCCGCATCAGGCTGGCGGTTGTCTGCGACGTCCTCCTTCGGATTCTCACCGGCTCTACTAGACTCAGGCGAAGTCGCTTTGGTGTCGTCAGGAAAGCAGGTTTCCCCGTCAAGGTCCATAGCTTCTTCGGCTGGTTCTGAATCTGACTCCGACTCCGACTCCGACTCGGTGTCTGGCATCGCGGGGGCGGAGAAAGAGGAATGATGTTCGTCGTTGATCGCAACACTGGCATTGGCAGCAGTACCACGGCTTCTGGGCCGTGCGCGAAACAGAAAGCTTTCATCCTCTTGAGTCTCCAATTCGATTTTAACTTCAATGCTGTCGTGAGTATCCTTCGCTTGCATCTCCACATCGACCTCTGCGGGTGCCTCTTCTCGCGCGTTTGTTTGTGGAGTCGTTTTTGACATCTTCGCAGATGGAGGTGTTTGAATGGGTGTGCTCAGCGGGGCGGGGTTCTCTTCCTCGGGGCTGGCAGTGGGTTTGGCTGGTGTTTGAGGCGGGAGACGTTGTGATGAAGATTTGTTCGACCTTTGCAATGCCCTTCTGGAAGACCTTGATTGACTTTGGGTACCCGGCAGGCTTTGCGCAGTCTCGTCCATAATCAGAGGTAGTGTCCCATACATATCCTGAGAAAGATCTCGGCTTTGACCAGGGTGCTGCGTGTTAGGCAAGGCGACAATGGATGCACCTTCAACATCTTCCTCTTCTGCTTTCCGACGTTTGTTGTCCTTCCGCTTGAGCCAGTCTGATCCCATAGAACGGCGTTTCCTGTGAGATTGAGACTGCGATAGAGAAATATCGCTTGCAAATGACCAAGTTGGCTCGTCGTCTGGTTGTATTGCTGATTCCGTCGCACTCCTCCAAGCATGTACCCTCTCGAGATCCTCTGCTGTCATATGCGGGTTGGCCGTGACCCCGACCTGGTCCAGGCTCCGGGGGCTGGGTAGATGGCAAGATCCCGTGTCATCGGCGTCTGATAGCTCACTCTCGGCAACCTCAGCCTCGGCGACAGTCTCCACGACGGCGACTGGTGGGTTTCTGCTTCTCTTCGACCGCCATGGGTTGACCCATCCTTTCGCATCTGGTCCTTCAAACGGGCCTCGTAGTACCGACGTCAACAGCACGGGGGCTTGGCCGCTTAAATATCGGTGGGCGGCATCCTCAATCCGGCGTCTTCTCTCTTCTGGACTGTCGTAATATTCGTCGTCGGATCCTTCACAAAGGACTTCGGCATCATCGCGAGCTGGGTCGCAGAACGGCTCGTCGTCCAGGAACTGGACTCGCCAGTCTTTGGCGAAACCCATGGCGAGGAGGGGTTAGGCTGTTCATGAACTTTGATGGGTGTCGGGAGAAATTAAGTGGTTCGGAACGCTGGGCGGTCGCATCGGCGCCGGGCGGTGGTCCGGAGTGCGGGATGTCGTTGAAAAGAGAGGTCGGTCGTCGCCTCCCGCGCAGACAAACATGGGCTGCCAAATTGGACAAAGAGGCGATGGGTCGGGTGGGTCTTCATGTTCACCCGGCGACGCGACAGACGCGCCTGTGCACGGGCCATCGTGTTAAGTGGTCTCCACTGTTCTTTATTCTGGCGTTTGAAAGGCGAGACTCTCTCCAGCCATCGCACTGAGGCGCGAGATTACATAAGGGATGCGATTATAAGCATGCGCCCCCCACGACTTCGATACAGCGATAGCGCCATCGGGGGATCGGGGAATTTGGTGTCGTGGCGGTTGACACAGCAACGCGCACCCGCCACTCTGAGCATAACATTGCGCTGCGAAAAGCACGCTAAAAATGGCCTTTATCCAATTGTTTATTCTGGGATCCGACCCTTGGAGCGATTGACATAACGCCGCCCCAAACCTGCGCCAGTGCACCACACACACTTCACGGCCGCTACCAAACAGCGGAACACACTGACGCGAAGGCTCGACCGCGTTCCCCACGAGTAACAATACAATACGTTTTACAACTTCACAATACAACAAACCATCACGACGGGACCTCACCGCACCCCAGCGGAGGCTGCCACGGTGCTTGTGCTGCCAGTCCTTTCGCCATTCTGTTCAGCTTGCCATTCTGCATCTTTTCCACGTGCATTTTCACTTTGGCGACCTTCCCATTGCAACTGCCCGCGTAAACAAATCGCATCCATCGCAACAACACACCCCGCAAACCGCGACGCCTCTTGCAGCCGTTTACATCCCCCGATGGACAGTTTATAACCACCAATATCCCACTATTCCGATTGCACGAGCCCTTACATCATGGCTCCCGCTTGGCTTGACTCCCTCTCCGAGGATTGGCCTTCCCAGGCTGGATCTGAGGCTTCGCCGTCCGCCCTGCCGCCTTTGAAACCAAGCGAAAACAACAAAACACCCAACGGCAAGGGAGCCGGCAGTCGCATACCACTCCCTGTCAGTAGGATACGACCGTCGAGTGCCGGCACTGAAAAAAGCGTCGGAGTCCTCAGCGAACGAAGCACAAACGACGTCAACCTGCCACTCTCTTCCCAACGACGACCTACCCCGAAGCGTTCTCGAGAATTCAAGCCCTCCGAACTATCTCGCCAACCCAGTCGCGCGCTTTCGGCCTCCACAAATGGCTCTGTTATTCATAACACAGTGCAGCACAAGTCGATAAAATCGTCCCCACTGAAGAACGTAGGCAGCACACCGGAATGGAAGCGAAGGCTCGTGTATGGGGACGTTGCGTACGGCGAACAAAGAGATCTGTTCTGCTCTGCTGCTGCAGGTCTTGAGAACATGTTCAAGCCGCCAACACCCCAGGACACCAGCCTGGCAGATCAGAGCCCCCGCCACGAGTCGACATTACCTTCGAGCCCCCCGTTCTTCCGCCGCGCAGACGTGACCACAGGCGAGGAGGAGGAGGAGGAGTCCGACGGCAGAAGCCAGATGGATCCAAGTCCAAGCCCCAGTCCTAGGATACGACCGCCTCAAGTCACGTACAAGTTGGCGGACGATTCGCTCGACCAAAGCAAACTTAGCGAGTTCAGTGCGCCTCAAGACAGCCATCCTCAAGAGCCGACCGAACCCACCGTGAAAGAAAGTGTTCCCACTGCAGACACCTCAGTCACCGGCCTCGCACCCCCGAACGACGCGTCGAGAAAGACGAGCGGACATAGTGTCATCCGAAACGAGGATTTCAGCCCGATTGTGCTTACACTCATGCGCCCAAAAGGCGAGGAGGGCGACGCAGAGCCCTTTGCGCCTACCGAACTGCCCATCGACCAGCTTCAAAATCGTCTTGAGAAGCTTCGCATTGACCAGATGCTTCTCGACTCTCAAGGCGAGCTTCAGTTCGACGCAGACGGAACGCAGGACGAGCCCGAGAACGACAAGGTGGACACAACCGAAGACTATGCGCGCAAGGGAGGCTTTCTCAACTTGCAGCGTGGTGGCAGGTCTGGTGATGGGTCATTCAGATACCGGGGTCTGAGTCCCGGCATGCGGGTCGATACATCTGAGATGTTCCCCGAAGAATCTCTGCAAGCTAGCACCCCCAAGCAATTCCCCAGCGTCAGGACCTACTCGCCGGGGCAGGGAACGATGCGATATGGCTCTCAAAGTCCCCCACCTCCAATAGCACCTCATCCGAGTCCTGACAAGCGAGCAACAGCCGGGACCAACAGCACGAGCCCGCTGAAGCTGTTTGGGCCCTACGACACCTTCACCAACCAAACGCTTCTCCGTCGCATTAGCCAGTTTGAGGACCAGATGTCAGGCTCATCGCGACAATCACTGAGCGGCGCGTATTCTGGGGATGCTTCCAGACTGACTGAAAAGCCTAGACCTCATACTGCCCCCGTGGGCTACCTCTCCGTGCCAGCTCAGCAGACTGCTGCAAGTTCACGATCCGTCAGTCAGTTCGGCGCAGGCGATTTGGAAGGTTATCAGTTCGATCAAGAAATTTCCATTCGACGCGATGACGAGGAGTCACAATTCTACGACGAGGGCGACTTCGATGGACTCTCTGGCTTTGAAGAGTCTGTTTTGCGATTCGCGAATATCACAGGCTCTCCAGGCCAAGAGGAGTCAATGTTTATCCCCAGAAAGCGAGCGAAGTCTGCGACGACGACGGATTCATCGTCAAAACACACTCGGGAAGTCTCATTCGGCAGTGAGGGCAGTGTTCAGAGAGGAAATGTTCGGTTCCCATTGGACGACTCCCTCTTACTAGGAACTCCGCACAGACGCGACACCGGTTCAGAGGGAAAGAGGCCAATGACCTCGCCATCAAAAGATCCAACTCCGAAGCGAAGGAGGACGCTGCACAAGTCTGATATTGCTTACGGACGTGAAGAGCGCTTTCAAGCGCTGGAGCCTGTTCATGAGTCTCACGCCCTGATGCAAAGCATGATGGGCAAGAAGCGAAAGGACGCCCGTCCGGGGAGCATGCAGCAAAGAGCTCATCCTAGTGTGCTGGCTAATCGCCATATTCTCCGCCCGCGAACTCCAACGCCGAGCTCAAGGTCGTCAATGCAGAGAGATGACTACTTTCCGGAGGATTATCTGCTCGAGGAGCCACCGACGCGCCGCTCTCCCACCCGCGCTTCTCAGCTCACGACGAGCGGCAACGATCGCAATGGCACTCTCGATACGGACCGAAAGCCATCCATCAGGACCCAAGACTTTTTGGACGAGGCTGGCAAGATCATGGCGATGATCAGGAATGGAGCCAAGGCCCCGAGTGGTCTGACGAGTGTTGAGGAATCTGATGCGGAATTTGGCGAGCCCAGTCCGGTCTTTGATGAGGACTCATACGAGGAGTCAACAAGAGAGCCGCTCTCACGGCCTCCTAGCCGCGAGGGGAAACCCGTACAGAGGGCACCGCAGCGACAGGAGAACCCCGACATCCTCGACTACTTGAAGAAGTACCAGGAACTGAGTGACATGGGGGACGTCATCTCCTCATCACTCAGATCTATGGACCAGGCACAAGACGCCATTCGTGTGGCACAGGAAGTTGAACGGCAAATCGAGGAGCGAAGCCGTGAAAGAGCTAACACTGAAGAGCTGCAATACCTTGGAGGCGATGAGACTATCAGCGATCCCCCAAACATCCGCATCAGCGCCAACCCAAATAGACCGATGGACTCCATTGATGCAGACGACTACCCGACCCACTCATCTGGAGCATCCACCACCCGAACTATCCACACAGGCTCCTCCCGCAATTCCGAGTCACGAAAAACCATCATGCCTCAGAGCGTGTCCCATTTGATCCCGGACCAAGTGGGTAGCATGTACCTGGACCGCCAGCAAAACATCTGGATCAAGCGGAAGGGGGAAAGTGTTCGTCCTAGAAGTGCGCACTTACACTCTCACGTGCTTCCTTCGGAAGACAGCGAGGACGATCCTTTCGCGAGCATTCCAGACCTGTCTGTTGATTTGACTAAGGAGATGCAGCACTTGCGGATTGTGACAGCTCAGAAGGAGGCCGAAGCAAACGAGGCGGATTGGTCGCTGTCACCACCTGGCTCTGCTGGCTCCTTTGGCACTCCTAGGAACCCGTCAGGCAAAGGTTTCGTCACTCTATCTCCAGATGGGACCTTACCGAAGGACATTGCGGCGCAAGCTCGAACCGAGTTCACGAAACTCGGAAGCAAGCTACCTGATGGAGAGGTCGAGCACGAGATACAACTCGATGAGGATCGCATTACCGACTCCTCGCCGTCTCGCAGACGAATGACGATTTCTTTCTCTTCGCCAATTGCCTCCATTATTCAGGATGTCGCGGCAGAAGACATTGACAGCCTCGAGGACGACGAAGGCAGCTTTATTGATTCTCATTTCGTCTTGGAGGAATCTAAGCGCAGCAAGTACCAGAGCTTGACAAAAGCCGCCCGTCGAAACTTGTTGCAACCCCGGCCTTGTACCGCCCCGGCACGCGGCCCTTCCAGGCAGTTCTCCCTGCGTGGCCAGTCCTTTGTTCCGCGCCCCGTTTCTCGTATTGACGAACGAGACGAAGACAGCGTTGTCGACAATGCCGAGGAGAGGCAAGTCAGCATCATCGCTGATAACAGCGCCCTTAGCCATGTCTCGCACGAAAACCAAGAAAGGAGTCTTAGTTTCCTCATCAAGACGCCCGGCAAGACTAGGAACGGCGGTCTTTACCCTGACGCAGGAGCTTTTATCAGCCACCACGTTGGCAATCTGTCTCTCAGTCCCATGTCCGAGTTTACTTTAAACCACAACGAGAAGTCATTTGGCTTCGAAGTCAGCTATATTGTAGACGATCAGCGACTCGTCACCGGAGACGGCTCCAAGAAGGTCATGTCCATGACAGTTCGCGATCTTGTCGACCGATTGACCGAGATTGAGCCTTTTGAGCCCTACTGGGAGGACTTTACAGAACTGGACGTCAGCGAGAGGCGACTCTCGAGCCTGCACATGTTGGACGAGTTCTGTGGTCGCTTGGTGAGCCTTGACGCATCCGATAACTCCATTGGTCATCTCGATGGAGTACCGGCATCAGTCAGACAGCTCAAGATCACCAACAACATGATTACTGAGTTAACGTCATGGGATCACCTCACCAACCTCCAATACGTCGACCTCTCCAATAACGATCTCACAAGCCTGTCAGCTCTGAAGAACCTTGTTCACCTTCGTAGCCTCAAGGCCGACAACAACAAGCTGACATCTCTTGACGGCCTAAACCAGCACGATGGTCTACTGTCGTTGCGGGCGCGCAATAACTTGATTGAAGTCGCAGACTTCGATGGCACCAAGCTACACAGGCTTACAGAACTGGATCTTTCTGGAAATAAGGTCAAAGAGCTACTGAATGTCGGGCAGCTTTCTTCACTCGAGACCCTCAAACTACCCCGTAACAAGCTTCTTGCATTCACCGCAGAGGATGCGCAAGGCCTCGACGGTTTGCGCTACCTGGACCTCAGCGACAACGAGATCGCCGAGCTTGATATCGGCCGTCTACCTGCAGTGCGGCTACTCCATGCCGATAGGAATTGCATCACGAACATCACTGGTTTCACCAAGGCTCGCCACTTGGACAGCTTATCTTTGAGAGAGCAGCGTGGCGATGGCCAGCTGGACCTGTCCTTCCTTTCTTCGGCGTACGAAGTTCGGAAGCTCTTCCTCTCCGGAAACTACATTGGCGCTTTCGAGCCCAAGGTCGATTTCCTCAATCTTCAACTACTCGAGCTCGCCAACTGTGGGCTCCACCGTCTGCCAGAGGGCCTCGGACTGTTGATGCCAAATCTGCGATCGTTGAATCTCAACTTCAACGCCGTTGCCGATCTTTCACCCATTCGATTCGTTCCCCGGCTCAAGAAGCTTCTTGCTGCTGGCAACCGCTTGGCGAACTCGACATCAGTCACGGAACTCCTGACGGACTTCCCGCACCTGACGCAGTTGGATCTGCGGGACAATCCAATTACTCAGGGCTTCTATCCGCCAGTGCAGGTTATGGTGCCAGCAGACCGGGGCAATTTTACCGATCCATTCGTCCTGCCGGAAGCCGATACGCAGAGAGACGAGGTGTTTTCCAAACGTCTCGACGAGGCAACCCGTCTCCGTCGTCGGTTGTACCAGGTCATTTTCGTCGGTTGCTGCAAGAGGTTGAAGCTCCTCGACGGCTTGCCCGTCAAGCGGCAGCTCATGCTTGCACGCGACCCAGCTTTTCAGGCGTTGGTCCAAGAGGGTCTCTTGCCCAGCGATAGCGCCGGCGTTCCAGCTTCATCTGCAGCCAAATCCCCGGCTAAAACACCGGCGAAGACCCCGGCGAAGACTCCGACCAAGAGCTCGACGAAGCCTCCGCCGTCGCGGTCTTCGTTCAAAGCTCCGACCGAGGCTCCCGCCAGGTCTTCGCCCACCATTCGGGTCACCGCTCCGGCTAATGAGCCGAGCCAGTCACCCGCTCCTAAGAGCGCGGTCAGCAGTCGCTGGAACGCAGAGGACAGCTTCGCTTGAGGCACAGGACATTGTATTATATGATGATGGCAAAAAAGAGGGGGGCGTTTCTAGCACAGCCAGGAAGAGTGTGCTTTTATTCATGTTCATATTGATAATCTTTCAACGGTCGGGAAAGGCGTCTGGGTAATCATTCAAAAGGAGCAGGGCTTAATGACGAAACGGAAGTATTGTACGAATAGGGATGGTAGAAAGCATCGATTCAAGAGGTCCGGAGAATACAGACTTTGCATCTGAAGTACAATGACGATTGGGCTGAGCGATGATTGACGTGAAGCTCTTGGCGTGGGTGCATGACTTGATCGCAATTCCGCGGACATTGCCATCCAGTGGAATGTAACAGAAGATGGGAAAGCAACGACGGGACGGCAGCCGGCAGCCTTCCATGCAGCCGGGACCCACTCGCGCCGAGGTTACGGTGCATTGCCGAGCCGGCGGCCCCGGAGACGATCTATCTTGCTATCTGCGCCCCAGCGACCTCGTCATCGCGGGCTCGTGCTCGCGCTCGCGATACGAGGTTTCTTGGATTTTTTTTCTTGCAAGGGCAAATAAGGTCTGCAGTAGATGGACATTCTGGCGCGCGCACACTGGGTCTGGGCGTCGCACGATGGTTGTGTGTGTGTGTGTGTTGAGGTGTCCTGAATCGCTCATGTCCCGGAAAATTCTTTCGGTTTCAAGGGAGATTATCGTCCGGCGAATCGAGCAGGTCGCCCACACACACACAACAGCCAGGCACATACGACAGACGTACCTACCAGGCACGCCGGCCGGCGACCGCGCAGCCGGGAAAGTTGATCGCGGGGGGGATGGGACGGCGAGGGGGGGCGATTAAAATAGGCACTAGGACCCCTGAAATGAGGTGGTAATATTACTGAGAGCCCGAGATGGGATAATCGGGAATAGGCTGGGTGCCCGAGTGTGTCTGTTTTTTTGTCATTGAGCGTGCCAGTCGGTGCCTGACATGACATGCACAAGGGACAGACAGATGGTTCGTTTGGACGCGGAGGTCACGATGCAGGAGGACCCTTAGATTTTTTTCAGTGGCCTCTTGTGTTTTTTTCTGCCCTCCCTTGGGAACTGGTCTCGTGGGCAATGGAAGAGTTGGGATGAGGATGAGGGCAGAAATTCCAGATCAGGATTATCTTTGTTTGTGGAGGGAGGGGGGTTGCTTGTTTGTCATTGGTGTTGGAGGCAACCCAGACAGTGGAGGTGAGTTGGTTTTTTTGGTGTATGAGTTGAAAGTTGGTAGGGCTCTCGATATTGAGGCTGTATTATTAGGAGAGGGGGGGACGAGACGACGCGTCTTCGATTTCTCGTGGCCATCCTAGGGCTTCGTCTTTTACGTTTTAGTGCTCGTCTGAGCGTGAGACTGGGAGTCGGGGACGATGAGACTCAGGGAATGCCCTTGGAGACTGGGGGTTGTTGGGTACGCAGAGGCATGGCAGGGCTGCGCTGGCGGTGATTGTCGAGGACGGGGGACCCGGCCGAGAGGGAGGAAGGGGTCAGAGAGAACGGGTTGGCACGTTATTTAAGAGCCCTGATTTGCATCCCGAAGGGTAAGGTACCGTGTCAGAGTATGTGTGTCCCTTGTATTCCCAGGTTGCGCGTTGCTTGTGTTGTGGGCTTGTTAGCAATAGGTAGGTAGCAGCCCGGCCGAAGCTTTTTCCAACTGCTAGTGATGTGGTACCAGACCCTCCTTATTTCCTTTATTTGTTATGCTTGACGTGTCCACGATGGTGAGTAATAGATGGACGAAGCAGGTATTTGGGTGTTTCCAGGCATTGGTGTAGGCGCAGTACCCTTGATATGTTTCCAGCTCAGCCATCGAAGCCAAAGGAAAAGGAGCCGAAGCTGGAAGACGGGACTTTGGGCGCCATGCACAACATTTGCCTCCTGCTTCGGCCCGTAATAAGGCATTGATGGAGAGGGTCCCTAGTGGAATCGTCGGCCGGGCTGAGGTGGGAGTGGATTGTCCTACGCGGTAGTGGGCACTGGGCTGCAGCTGAGGCGCCTGAGGTAATCGTGATCGCGCATCAGAGGGGGTTGTTGCGGTACATGAAGATGGGCCTCATCACAGCCAAATATTGGTGGGAATTTGGCAAGATCAAGTACCTGTACTTGAGACGCCGTGGAATCCAAATGGAAGCTGCCAGGCCTGTCGCACCCCTCGACCTGCCTGCACAAGACGCGCTGCACAGCACAACAAAAGCAATGGATGGCACCCCAGAGAATGATCAGAGACCCGTAAAGGTCCCCCTCACCAGTCACCTCCACCAAAGTCAACTCCACTGGGCAGCCACTGGAGCGACTGGTGGTCATTGACTGAGGAGGACTGAGGACAAGGTGAGGTGTCGGGCAGGCATGTCCCGGATCCCTGACTGCATAAACCGTCATCGCGCTCTGCTCTGGCACCTGGGTGTCCACGGATGTGTGTGTCCAAGTGTCCCGCCTGCCATTTTGTGCGCCATCCAACCAACCCATCCCGTTTCTGGTGTTGCTATCATTATTACCTCGACCTCTAGCGTCTGTCATTCCTCGACGTCAACTTCCCCTTATTCCACCTGTCTCGCTCTGCACCACCCACGAACACACCAGCAGCTACTTTACTCACAAACACAACGACCGCATCCTTCACCGCATGGCATAACATCCCCCGCGGAACAACTCTGAGCATCTCTTGCCGTCGCCCCAGCTGGCTCGCACAGCCAACCCTCGACTGTTCTTGAAACCATGACGTTTGGTGTCATCACCCGCCAAAACCAACACCAGCCATGGACTCAGAGCCTTCAGTTCCCCTTGCGCGCTCCATCTCCCAGCAGAGCGCAACGTCCATGAGGAGTGCCCGCTCCTCTACCGTCCGCGGCAAACGATCGAAGCTCAACTCCCAGCCCTCAAGCTCCGCCAGCTCTGTCGCCGCCTCCGAAGACAAGTCTCTGACGAGCTTCCCCTCCTTCTCGCCAGACTCGCCAAGGGGAGACACCTCCTTCCCTCTCGACCCCGTCACCCCCGACCCAGAGCCCGAGCCCCCAGCGACCGTCCGCAAGATCTCTGACGCCAGGTCCAACGCCTTCTCTCTGCTGGGCAACCTCACCGGCAGCACCTCCGCTGCTGAGCAGGCTGCCCGCGATGCGCTGTTTGAGGACTCGCCCATCTCGACGCACAAGATACCTGGCGCCCTGCACCATGCCAACGACGAACACATCCACCGACTGATTGCCAGAGACGGCGCCGTGCCCCTCATCAGGCAGTTCGCGACCGACCTGGCACAGCGCGACGCTCAGATCGCCCAACTGAGGAGGAAAGCCGATGAAAGGGAGAGGGCTCTGCGGAAGATCATTCTGGAATGCGGGCTGTCCAACCTGGACCTCGAGACGAGATTGCGGGCCATCGAGAGCGATGTCAAGACCTCCCGCCCGGGCAACCGTCGCAACGAGAGCGGCCTCTCGGATCTGATGAGCGACGCTATGCAGGACACCGTCATTTACAACGTATTTGGTCAGACCGACAATGAAGCAACCGTCCGCGCCAGCAACCTCTCTATCCCCTCCAACGCTGATGGCCGAGGTACGACGAGGGGCTGGAAGGACTTTCTCTGGGGCGGCACGAGCAGGAAGAACAGCGGACCCAACAGCGTCAACGGAGACGACACAAAACCCGCCGCGGTTCTCAGAGCGCAGTCGTACGGTGACAGGCGGCCGGGCCTGCAGGATGACCTGTTCAGCCCGCCGCCGGAGAGCGCTGCGCCCGAGAATGTTCCGCCCAGAACTCCGAGTCGGGCGTCTAGCATCCAGTCTGGCCCACCTGGGTCTCGCAAGGCGTCCACCTCAGTCGCCGCCAGCCTCATGAGACTGGTCGCTGGAGGCGCCATCAATACGCGCGAGGGTGGCCCCAACCGCGGCAGATCTAATAGTGCTACTCAGCCGCAGTCGACCATTCGAGCATCGTCTACATCTAGTGCAAAGACGACTCAATCGAGCAGGGTGGTCTCTACCCAGGGCGGTCCCAAGGCACTCATGGCCATGCGCCGAACAGGACCTATGAACAATCCTCCTCCTGGGGCGACTACAGCGCGAACACAGCCTCAGGAGAGATGGGACACCATGACGGGCAGCCCTACGAGCGCCACGCCCAGGCAGGAGAGCTATGGTCCCGTCGAAATGGATGCGATTCTCCCGCCCGAGACGCAACCTCCAACCTTGACCCACATTTACAACAACTATGTCGGTAGCGAGTATCTTACCGACCGTTTCGGGTTTATCTACGATCAGCGCAGGAAGAAGAGACAGCGTGAAGCGGCGCAGATGGCTCGCCGTTATAAGTTAGGAGGGCGAGCCGAGATGCTGTCTAATGGACGCTCGGATCTGTCCCCGTCGATGATTGAAGAAGAGCAAGTTCCGAGTCCCGGAGGCAGCGAGGAGCGACCCGACAGCCCTTCTTCCGCTGAGGAACGCTCGAGCGAAGGCAAACCCAAGAAGTGGCAAGATTACCTCAAGTTAGCGACATTCCCGACGGAGCTGTTGTCTCACACCCCCGCACTCAGCGCGCCGTCTCTGGAGGTGCTCGAGGGAGGGGAGCTTGGCATGAAGTCTCCCGGCCTCATCACGGCTGACGAGCGCGGCTTCGTTCCCATTGCTAGCGCTACGATTTCAGTCACCGAGAGCGAGGCAACGCTGCCCGTTGAGAACGATGCAGCTGCGGGGACTGTTGTTAGAGACGACACCGAGCCGGTGAAGCTGCTTCTCCAGCACATGGGCGAGTTGCATGATTCTTTGCAGCGAGACAAGGCAGCCCGCTGGAATGAGTTCCTGCGCAAGGTTAGGGCCGAGCGGCGGCGGGACGGCGAGGCCGCGGCAGCCGCTGCAGCGGCCGCAGCTGAGGCTCGGTATGAGCGACCTGCCGTCAACCTGCCCGAGGCAGCGCTGGCTGACGGCGAACTGATCGGGATTACCGGCCTCGGAATCAAGGGCAAAGTCGGCCGCGCCAAGCGTACGGAGCTCAGG